CCAGGTGGGCTGTATAGGTCGGGATATATATATATATATATATATATATATATATATATATATATATATCCCATCAGTTTCCTTGCAAGACATTTTACCAACTTGGGCATTGTCTCCTGGCACCAAAACCAAAGCATCCATCACTAGACTTCTTTGGTTAGCTATGACACAACATTCACCCACTTTAGTTACTCTATATGACTTTTCTAACAAAAAGTCGCGCGTGCACTTCACTGTGTGCTAACAGTCTACGTGATTTTACGTCACGAAGGAGATCGGATTTTCGGAAGGACATTGTAACTTTTAGTGGTTATCTGTCGTCATCTTCAGCAGCAGGGACATCATGTTACTATTTCTGTTTGTATGGTTTGTAATCAGAAGAAGAAAAATACACAGGATAGATGTGTAGTTCAAAACTATCATAAACGCCTGAGGTAAGTACAACTGGCATTCAGCTAGGCAACCTTAATGGAAGCTTCAGCTGTTTAAAGGAATACCCGTGATTGTCAACTTAACCTTTCAACACTGGCCGTTTTACAGCCTGTTCAAAATTCATCGTCATCATTTCTAGTCGAGTTTCTCTTTGACAACTTAGCAGTTCACACCGACTCACCTTGACACTCGCTATGAATTCGGTGCACGCTATTTCAAAAATTATATCAGTATAACACATGTATGCGACTGTTCAGGCCAACAAATTGAACGATAAATCATTTTAGTGCACGAGAGAACAGTCAATCGAACGATCGGTAATCGTAAATGATGCATCTTCTAGCTACTTTCCGTAGTATCAACAAGATTCGTCATCATGTGATCACGCATGTCTCTCCAGTCAAACTGTCTGGTTATTCATTCCTTCACCGGGCTCCTCACTCTAATTAGAACGATCCTGGCGTTTTTATAGAAAAGTCACCCTACCACACGCTTATGAAGCCGGAATAGGTGATCTCAAAGTGAAAATAAGCTATTTGCACAGGCCATACTAGTTCACCATAATCTTTCGAAAGTTGCCATCTGTGTTATGTGACCCGTCGGTTTGAATCTCTAAATTTCATTCCCCCAATCCTCAGTCCCTTCAGAAAGGCTGTTCGTATTAGCCCTATCATCGGGACCACTACATTGTGGTTTCAACGCCTCCGTATGCTAACGAAACCTTTCCATGTAATTTCTCCCTTTATCTTATGTATCTCATAACAGGAACGCGCAGACGGGTCTTCTGTCGTCTCGTACCAAGTCTCACTACCTGGAACATACCACTGCTCAATCAAATTCAACGATGTGCATATTCCATACTCTCCGTTCGCCATTCAGATAGCTGACTCTGGCCGCACTGGACGTGTAGCGTCTTATGCGGTTCCTTCGCAGGTTTCAGGTCTTCAAGAGACTGCACCGGTCGGATCGGAAGAATTTCCCTCCCAGGTTTGCACGTTTTGCGTACAGTTTGATTACCTCGTTATCCGCTCCCAAACCGTTTGAGAAATTAGGCTTTTTTATCCTGAGTAACATGTTTCGATCTCACAAGATGTACGTAACCTAAACAATCTTGTGCTCAGGTCCAAAGTACAGGCGATCTTGATACCGTGTCGATCGCCACGTTCCTGTCCACCGGATACACAATTGAGCTGTTAAGTATGACTAACCCTATGCACAGTAGTGGTGCGTTTCAGAGAGTTTCGGGTTCTCTGTGTGCGTTCTTGTGTGTGGTAGGTTATTTGTAGTAAAAGTTGGAATGCGATGAGCTCGTTTTTTATTACCCTGGACTACAACACGTGTGTCGTTAACACTGACCTCGTGTCTCCTGTGGCACATTGTTGGTGACGTAACAGTGGCTGATATTAGTGCAGATGGGTTAACAGCCTCTCCCCTTTTTTACATATGCCTGACGGTTATTTTTGTGTACGGCAAAGTAGTTCAGCCTTTTCACTTGATGGAAGAGGGACCTTGAACCCATTAATTTTAACACACATATTGACTGCGGATGCACTACTTCGTTTGACCTCTGAAACCGAAGCAACCTAAGTTATCCGACCGTATTGACTATTAGTGTCTAGTTTGCACAAAAGTGCAGAAGTCGGTGTTTGAGGTAGGCGCTAATCTTGATCGGTTTTTTTTTACTCAACAGTTCTTATGCTTTGCACTGTTTTTGCTTGATGCAACAAAGTTCTGATGTGGCGTGAATAGAATAAATCTAGGCGTGCAGAAAGTACGAGTGTGAAATGAATTGTCGTTAGTTCAGAACGGTTTACTCGAATGTGCATCGTAAGCCCACATGTCCCGACCTCAATGCCAAAGTTTTTCCAATGATTTCTTGAGATACTAAATTACCAATTTGTTATTCTCTGAACACAGTGAGTCGTGTTCGAACATTTTGGGGTTGCTTCTAAGTGAGCCCACAAAATGCAACTCATCGCTTCTTCTCAATGGAATTCCCGAAGACTAGATATTCCTCATCTTTAGAAATCAAACTTGAGAAATTCCATTGAATTATTTGTGTTCGGGTTTTGAGTTTGTGTATGCGTTTACCGGTCTGAAAGTATTGTTGGTTTTACTTCTCTTACTGCGACTATGATTCGAGGGGAGGATGAGTAAGGTATTATCAACTTTGTTTGTCCTGTAGATCGGTCGACCAGTTGCGTTCACCGTACACCACCAGTTAGTTGGTGGACAGGTTTTACGTGCTCGGGTCCAAGCTCCATCCGGACTCATTGAGGAAGCTGGTATACAGCAGGTTGATCGAGATCAGTTCGTGGTTCGCTTCGTGCCCATGGAGAGTGGTCCTCACTTTGTCTATGTGCATATCGTCCCGGTTGAAATGAATGACATGAATGTCGAATTGGGACCGGGATCACCTTATCCACCGTTGGAGGGTTCACCTTTCAGACTCGTTATTAGCCACCAACCGGCTGATCCTTCCATGGTGCACGCGAATGGTGAAGGACTACGTCGCGGTAGAGTCGGTTAGTTATGTTTCGCCTTGATATGCTTGTAATTTAAAGTACTGCTCTATTCTCTTCTTCCAAGCTGTTTCTGCGTGTATCCTAGCTAGTCCTTATCCATACATATGAGTTGATATTGTGAAGATTGTCCTATCGCTCCAAATTTTGCCAATCTGCTAACTTTGGTGAAAATGTTAAACACTTGAGGGCCTAACGTTCGATATTCATGAGTGACGTGGCATTGTGCCATTACCTGCGCAGCACCGAAATCCAAATCACTGTAAATTATCATGAAGTTCCTCAGATCGCACTAAGCTTCACCTAAGATTATGCCACTTCACAAGAATTCTGTGCACTAATGGTTTTGCAGTGGCGGCTAAACTGAATTCAATTCCGCTTCCAGGAGAGAAGAACACATTCTTTGTGCATACTGCAAACGCCGGAAGTGGTGTTTTAAACGTCACCGTCGATGGCCCAAGCAAGGTCACTCTAACTACGCAAGAACAAGATGAGGGTTACTCGTTTTCTTACGTGCCAACAGCTCCAGGTTCCTATGAAATCAGCATCAAGTATGGAGGCAACCACCATATTAACGGCTCTCCCTTCAAGGTATGCCTAAGCCTCATTCTGTCTGTTTATCCCTGTGTTCCGTCATTCTTTTCCTTTCATTTTGTTCATGCACTAATCCCTCTATTCGTAAATCATAATTTTCCGTACGTGCTCAAGTATCCAGCACCACCTATCCTATGCATGCGTCATCATCATGAGCAGCTGTACAAACCGAGTACTTGCTGGATAATGGTTGTAGCTGTCACATTTTCGCTCAGTGATGATTTGGGGTGGTGGGATAGATAGATGCGTATTGGTGGCGATAGCTGATATTAACTGATGCGTCAATGCAACGGTGTCAGTGGACTTTCAGTTGGGGAAATTGTGAGAGGAGTTATACATTGAAAGCAACAGCTTGGATGCAGGTGCGCTACTGAGGGCGCGATGGGGCCATGTCCGACAGTGTCTCTAACCACTGATGTGTCACATGTCGGGGTCCCCATCAATGGGGACAACAATGACCAGTGTAGCTAAGTTTGTTGGAAATGGCTTTCTTTGCTGTCAAGTCATTGCTTGACCTCCCATGACTCGATTCTACCTTCTGCATGGTTTTGCCGGAAGAGCCCTTTGAGTAAGTCGGTCGACTGGCGTACGGAGCACGTGGCCAAGCCAGAACAACCCGTGAAGAGTGGTTAGGTCATCTATCGTGGGTGGTTTATTTCTTCCGTGAANATGGTTTTGCCGGAAGAGCCCTTTGAGTAAGTCGGTCGACTGGCGTACGGAGCACGTGGCCAAGCCAACGTAACCTGTGGGATGTGATCAGTTCATCTATCGTCGATGAGTTATCTCTTCCGATAACCATTCGGCGTACTTCAGCAGTACTTATCCGGTGTTGCCATCAGACTCGGGTAATGCTCCAAAGACATAAACGCTCAAACAGTGAAATTCTTTTGATGCCCTCAGCGCGCAGCTTCCATGCAATCCAAGGAGAGGCGCTCGAGTTTGTGGACCCTTTTGGGTATCTCGAAAGCTACGTTAGTTCCGATTGTAGTGTGACAGATAGGGACATTGCGCGCATCTCTTAGATTCAGGTTGTGTTTGGTTATTTGAGACACTTATGGCAGCAAAGTCGCATATCCTCAAGTCTTACGGGAAGTGTGTATCAGACTAAACGACGGAATATTCTGTTGTATGACTGCGAGACTTAGCCTCTGCGAGCAACACACCTGAGACGTTTTCAGATCTTCGACCACCGTTGCCTCAGAAGCACGTCTTGTGTAGACTGGTGTCGGTGAATTAATAATGGGATTAGAAAGCGAGTGCTCGGTTGTGCCATGGGGTCTCCCGTCGAAAAATGTGTCCAGCTGCGGTGACTGGGCCACGTAGCACCCATGCCGAACCATCGTTTGCCGAAAAGGGAGTTTTTCATGCCAACTTCAGAGTGGCACAGGCAGAGGGGTGTTCAACCCTTGACATGACAGAGGAGTATGAAAGAGATTGCGAAAAGTCGGTGCTGTCGCTTCCAGGATGGGGTCCGCGTTATCCACATTTACCTGGTTAGAGACGCTGCAAGCTACGGCTGCCAGTCGATATCATTCTTGTAGTCATTTTCTATCAAGATTGCTTGAACGAGTCCCAGAAGCTGTAGGTGACTCGAAATGATTGTGGTAAGCTAGCACTGTGTCTATTCCGTAACCACTCATTCTTTTCCCGACACAATGTCTTTCACTTAATTTATCGCTGTACGGCAGCGAAGCATCAATGTTGAAATTCGATGTTATGCTATCCATGATGATGATGATGACCTGTTCCACGGCTACCTCCGTAGTGGTAGTTCATCGCATAGGTGAAGTCACTCAGTCAGTTGCAAATTACTGCTCATTCTACACACAAATGCATCCACTCCCGTACTCCTTAGCAAAACACAGGATCGATAAAGAATGAATATTATCATTCACCTACTCGCTTTGTCACTTGTCGTGCACACCACGGAATGAGTGTCACTTGTCTCTATTCCGTCTACCTGACTCGCTTGCGATACCCACGCCGTAGCCGGGTAACCGATAGAGAATAAAATGTGCTGTTCGTCTCCGCATGCGTGCACCAACACACATGACACAGTTCGCTAACCCGCATAGCAGCTGAAATTCGGATACACCCACAAGATCATTGTGTTCGCCACCAACCTGCACACAGGATAATTCGCAACTGTAGCCAAACCATTAGACACTTATGTTGGGACCTATCTGACGTCCAAGTGTGGTCTGCATTATACCTCACTTTCCACTGTATATGTGGTAGTATTGGGTATCAACCCATTTTGTTACTTCACCGTAGGTCAAACGCAACCCCCACTTGGAAATTTTCCGTACGCATGATATACTACGGATAATCAACTTATTTTCACAGGAGCGTAACTGTGCTGTTTAGGTAACTCAGTATTCAATGGTACTCATTATAAATTGCATACCCTTCTATATTTTAATTTTTTATCACTGACCACCACTTCTGAAACGCTGGTTTTCTCTGCGAATTTCACAGTCTAACAGATTTATTTAGCCCATAACCAGTTCTTTATTGGTTTGTTCCTGCAGCTGCAAGCTGAGCTTGATATGGATTCTCTCAGTGAACCCTGGGAGTATTAGTACAGTTTATCTTAAATCTGCTTCCATGGCTAATTGTCATCAAGTGTTGTTTTCCTCCGGCTAATGGAGAGACGCACTTTAATTGTACAAACTTAGTTTGTCGGAACGAATTTGCAAGTCATGGATTATTTTATTTACCTTGTGCATCTGTGATTGGATCACACATTACGTTGTACATCTTGCGCTGTGTTTTACACAACTGGAAACCGTATCACAAGTGGCTAGTCACTATCTTTCATCATTCCTCAGTTAGGGCGAATATATCAGAGCGAGAAGGCTGCTCCCAAGCTAGACGTATGTTTTATTTTCGTCTGGGCTCCGCTCAGTACAGCTATCCCTGAGCACGAATGTAACCGATGTTTAATTCGTCTAAGTATTTTTCAGAACCGGATGGTTTGGTTCAGATTTCTGCATCACATGGATGTCCCCGGGGTCATTAGTTCAAATTATCGTCTGTCTTCAGTTGTACAATCGATTGTTGCTGTATGTATTTGCATCCGTCGTTTGCCTTCACAGTTGCTCTGCATATCAATATCAACTCACACAAGCGGAATTCTCAGGGCTTTTGAGTCGCGTTTTGGAAGGCAACATACTGGCTCAACATCCAGGGCCCTCGATGAGTACCATTCAAAGGGAAGTTAGAAGGGATAGTAAACGTGCAGGTACTCTTGTGTGATGGTTATACGTAACCGCTTCGAAAAGCATCTGCCAACTCACTTTTTACTGCTTCATCGAACCAGCCGGTGGCGAGTTGAAATCACATAGTAGTAAATAGTCATCCGCATTACAGTAAAGTTACCAGAATGCATTCTTGTCTTAGCCTCTAGAAGTTATTACAGCTGTTTGAAATTAACGTGTTCACTGTTTCGCCTATTTTTTTAACGTATATCTTCCATATTTGCATATTATGTATTTGTTTCTACATAGGCTGAGATCACTGGTTCTATTAGGAGTCCAACTGTGCTGAATAGTCGTGTGGCTGACCGGACGTCGAACGTCGTCCTTGAAACCATAGAGAAAAGTATAGTAGACTACCAGGCGTCACGTGTGTCCCAAAACCTGAGAGACAATCAAGCCGACCGTGTTCGCTGTGAAGGCATGGGACTGAAACGAGCCGACATTCAGGGTGTCAACTACTTCACTGTGGATGCTAGCGATGCAGGTAGGTGGTGAACGCAATGCCTTCTAATGTAAGTTACGGAACAGTCACTCCGAATACGGGAATCATTAGGTTTGGCGGAAAATCAGGCTTTGCTGTTCCACTAGCCAAACGGTATTGAAACTCACTGCGGCGTACGTGGTTAACTCAGTCGAATGGGAACGTAAAGTGAAATTCTCATAAATCTGGAGATTCATATTTGATTTGGTCTGTCTAATTGCATTCAATCTCCACGAAGTGAGTGTCTCGGTTCTTGGAGTGATTGAATGCACGTAGCGCTCACTTTACTGCCCCACTCTTTTGTTGCAGGCTCTCATATACTTAACTCGTTAACCTGAACCGTGAGTTAAAGTGCCAACGGGTGTTACATGTGTTGCCCTCCTTGGATGCATTCGTTCTTATCTTCAAACGCTGGCATTTTTGCTCTGCAGTGGCAAATTTTTCGCCGTACACAGCTCCTTTATTTACAAGATGAGCAGTTTTCTATGATTTGCTTAGCTTTTTTAACCTAGGCTGGACCGGATACTGTACACTGGACCTATTTGACTGAGGATGAGTCAACGCACTCTTGCCTTCGTAACTTATAGAAAAGTAAAAGGAAAGCGCATTCACAGCTGATTAATCGTTGTGTGATGACCACCCCATCCGTTAAATTTGATACGGTATTTCGCAGGAGTATCATTCTTGTCTTTTCGATCCTTTTTCTGACCCACTGGAATGCGCGTACGCAGCATTGTTATGCGCGGCTTGCTACCGAGCACCTGCATAATTCTAGCCTAACCACAATGAACTCTCTATTGTTGATTTGAGTCAGTTCACTTCTGGGTTGCATTTTATATAATGTGAGTTGCGAATTGTGAGCAGCCCTGGTAACATTAGACTGACATAATTAGAACTCAGTTCTGACGTTGATTCCGTCTCAACTAAGAAATAAAGGCAATAGTTGGTTAGTTTGTCAACCGAACTCCAAGATTCCATCGGTGTTGGTGATGGCTGTGTAAGAACTTCTTTTCCCTTCCTCTTTTTTGAATGCCCTTGGTGAAATTGTGAGCACTAGATGGTGCGGATAACCTGAAAGCAAGTCAGCTCACCGAACGTAGGTCGGTCTTCGTCATTAGATTTGCTCGACATACTCTGCAGCGGCTAGGATGCAATTCATAAAGGGAAACGGATGGATGAAGTTGAACGTAACTGAATCGGCCAATTTTCCAATCAGACTTTACTGGCGCGGAACCATCTTTTCTGTACCTATGATAGTGGATACCCTCATGGTATATGAAGCATGATCAAGAATAAATGGACCATGTCAACTTCATTGTTACTTGCAAACTCTGCTTTTCTGTTCCTGTAATCAGCGCTAACGACGCCAAAGTGGCCATGGATGTCAATTTTTTGACATATTTTAGAACTACTGATAGTGAACCATTTGGAAGCCTTCCAGGATCATTTTGCCAGCTTGAACTAGCGGTAGTCTTGATGTAAGGTCAAGTGACCTGCCATGGACAAACAAGCTCCATGAGACGCCAAAGAGCTTTTTTCATGGGCGGGATGACCAACAAAATAAGATCACGAGCTACTGTTTTAACCGGTTTCTATTTGAAGGGCACCTTCAACTTGAATGCCGACGCCCCTCCCGAGAGAGCACGTATTGTTTCAGAAATCAAGGTGTTCAGAATTTCTCAGCTTTTTCAAAGGAGTTTAATATCATGAGTATGCTTTGTGTTGTTATGAGTTTAGACACCAAGCCACCGATATTGATAAAGTCTACCTCGTTTCTGGCGAGGATGTAAGATCACTGACCATCAGCTGCCTAATTTTATCCGAAAAAAAAACAGTAAGGGGAAAACCTGCCCATAACCCCCTAAGATCGTGATCGCTGATGTGTCACGCGCATCGAATATCAAAGAATCTTTGGTTTTATTGAAGTAACTATCCATAGAGATATCCTATATGAAAACACTGTGTGGGACTTAGATTTGTCCGAGGAGCTCAAATGTCATGACTAGAAGCTCATTTGCGCCGACAGGTGTACCAGTGTGTGGGAACACCGAAATTAGCTGAGGTAAATAGTCAAAGTTCAAGGCAGGCATGAATCGGTTGTCTGTCCAACGGTATTCTGTTGTTGCTTTCATTGCAAAATCAATAAGAAGACCTGCTGTGGTCGACGTGCCATCATGAGTGAGTTTACGCTGCGGTATGTTGAATTCAGTACACAGTCCTCAGTCCTTATCATAAAAGAAAAATTGTGCAAGCCGTACTCTGCCTGTAACTCACTGTAATAATAATGACTATTTTCACCGTAACTGTCCATCTACGCTGCTGTGTGAAACTACTCCTGGTCACTATATCTCATACAAGGAACACCGCCGTTAATCAGTTTGCTATCCAAGGTTATCCGTTTTCACTCACGCTACGAATACACCTCTATGTCCCTGTTCCTAATGCCACAATCTTGTGAATACTGATGCATTGCTAGAGTCAGAAAGTTCTGTTATCTTATATTTGTCCCGCATTGTATTTCTTAGGATATATACTTAGTTTGATATGTGAAGCCAAATCTCATCTAAGATTTTTTGCGTTACAGGCACTGAAATTCTGCTAGTGGGTATTTGCGGCCCAACTCGTCCGTTTGAAGAAGTCAAAGTCAACCACCTTGGCAATAATCGCTATTCCGTATCTTACCGTGTGAATGAGAAAGGTCGACATTGGTTGCTTGTCAAATGGGGTGACCATCACGTTCCCGGCAGTCCTTTTACAGTAGATGTGCCTTAGGCGCATTCGAAGTTTACCTCCTCTTCAGTTACTCCTCTATTACTTGATGAAACCAGGTCGCACAATGTGCGCCGATCATTCATTTCGCAGTCCAACACCCCCGAACCGTTACTGGCGTTTACTGACAGAGCCGTTTCGTTTACCGATTTTCGTTCCTTCCTCTGCAGCTCCAACGCTGCATTTCATCAGTGCCTTTTCAGGTGTACAACAGTGCCCCGCCAATTCGATCTACTGCTTTAAATTATCTTGTTTGTACGTGCAACTTTTCCATTTCTCCAACTTATTTACTGGAGACTTGCTCATTACAGCATCGCCTGATTTTCTCCGTTGAGTCGTTTTTTGAATATCCAACTACCTTTTTCTCCGCAGACCCGTTGCCGCAATGCCTTCTTGCAGCCTGTGCTTTCTGAGTAGGAAGCCCGCCTTCAGTTTTTTTGGCCACTGTATTCTAGAATGCAATTCAATTTTCTCAGTGCTTTCTACTTTCGCGCCACTACTGGTAACGATTCCTAGTAGACAGAAAATCGGCTCTTTTCTAGTGTATCAAAGTTTGCCTCCTAATGGTTAATCCTTGCGTCTGTCAGACACACGTTATCATTTATTCTAAAGGATTCCTTTATCATGTTGTATGAAATACAAGCCGCACTATTTAAACGTACATTCATCAGGCTTATCTCGGAGTGGCCAAGTTGCAGCTCAGTTGCGAGATTTGGGATTGCGCCCCGTCGCTTCCTACTATGTTGGGGAAATTTTCAAGCCACTTAGAGAAGCTCAACCCTGGGCAACCTTTAAACTCTCGTTTCCGATCTAACACTCATTATATTCATAGCTGCTTTGATGTTTCAACCCCACTCCTTAATTTTTTTGTGTCCGACTCGTTCTGTGCTCTCGGGATTTCGCACATGCACAGAAACGCACCATATCCATGGCTTGACCATTGATTCGTTCTGCACATAAAACTCAAATTTGATGCCGGAGAACGTTCGACGTCATCGATAAAAATAAGCATGGGTCATGGAACCCAGCTGAATCTCTCGCTTGTGTTGGTTTGTAAATGAGTGTATTTCGCTAATTTTGTGCAGTTTAGTTTCAAACAGAATATAAGGTTGACGGAAGACCGGGTATTGATGAGCCTCAAGAAGGGCGAATCGGTCGTGGCTTGTTGAAGAATTTTCAGCAACCTTATGAGCAGTGCATTACGTGCAAACATGGGTCTTCTTTGCTGCTGAGGCGAATATGGGCGTAGTATGTTCGCCCAGCTGGGCAGTGTGATCGCAAAAGTTTTATCACCGATTGAGGTAACGTCATCAGTGCGTTGTTAAGGGCGGAGTGTTTGTGCCACATATCATTGAGAAACTCGGTTCCGATTTCAACGAAAGAGCGAAACCAATAGTTTTTGGATTTCACAAGACTTGGGTGCTTTTTCTAATGTGATTGAATTAGCCGCTGTTCTCACCACTCGAAACTTGACCTCTGCCCGTTGGTAACAATCACATCGTTGAAGCTTGAACACGTTCCACTGTTCAGAGGTGTCCAACGTGTGTCTCACGTATCAGATGTGCTGAGTTCAACCCCCGCACAGCCAGGAATATACGCTGGCGATGAGCTCTAATGGGAGCGAAACTCGAGTCCAGTGCTTTAGCCCTCTGGTATGAACTCACCAAAATGATTCCGTCAGGACAGCGGGACGGTTTTCAGACGAGAGCGATGTGAACGTGAATTTTAAAAATTCCGCAAACCACCAACAACTAACAATTTGATAGCTGAACATAGATGATAGACAGATGGACACAACCGTTGCCATCAACTACCACGGCGACTCGGGTCAAGTGAAGTAGCACTGTGTTAGCTACCGGTCACCTAAACGCTTCTAACCTCGTTAAGACACCCGACTGGTAGCAGTGTTGTGATAACATCGTGAAATCGCTTCCTGTCGTTGCGTGTATCACTGCTGTGTTTGCTCTCGGTTCCTTTGTTTTTCGCCCGACGTTTTTCAAAAAGCATCTCACTCTGAGGCCACCACAACTCTGTCAACTTTTCAGTGTTTCAAAAATACAGGTTGTATCTTGCGTAGTAAGGGGGAACCTCGGACAGCAATCAGCTAAGCGGCCATCTACACTGCAGTTGGTCATGAGAAACGAACTTTAACATAATGGAACGTAAAACCTCAATATCGAGAACCACTGTGCCTCGCAAAAGAGAGTGAATAAAATTCAGAGAATAACTTTCTTACTATCTCGGAACGGTTGATACTAAAACACAATAATCGGTTGGCTCTTCGTATATCAGTGAATGTGGAGTTATCTTTCGTTTAAAGTCACCTGTTTTAGTTACAGGATGCGAAATTCTCTGCGTCATCAATTTTGGCTAGCCGTGTGGAATTGTCAAGCTTCGCGTAATGTGGTGCAGGTCCCATTAATGTGCAAATACATAGCTTATATCAACTTTGTTTTTGGCGAAAAACTGAATAAAATGAAAAGAGTTGAGCAGCGCGCAAGGAAAATCTGTGAACATTTTCGAAGATAACAACCCCTAAATATGGCTATGAGTACCTGCTAAAAAATCAAGTATCCCTTTTCAAAGGACAAAACCGTTTCTTGACGCCGTACGCAACAGTGGCAAAAAAAGTGAAAGACTCCATTAGCACCGACCCAGAAAAATGTTCATTGTAGGATGTATCTGCAACTGTAGGTGGAAAGAATGTGAGTAAAGTGAGCGCAAGCGGGAAAACGCAACCAACTCTGGGAAGAATCGCACTTTAAAAAGTGACCAGTCGGAGGTCAGTGGAAATCAAGAGTATGACTGATTGCCTACTTGGATTGATACGGAAGAATGTACAACGGTGAGCTGAAGGAAATAAACAGGATGATTGATTGCCTCCTTAGGTTAACATAGAAGCATGTAATGTGCTTTAAAGCTCATCATGAAGAAATGGACACCAAACCGCAAAAAGAAAAGGATTTATGCAGTGTAGAACTACTAACTTCTGCAGCTACCTTCATCAGTACCTACTGGTGTACATGGTAAACGCCATTGAAAAAGCCATCCCAATATGTACAAAAAATTGCACTTAACTGCAGTGTCCCGGCGTTTATGTTCTGGAATTTATTAAATGCACTGCAATTAAAAACGATACTGGATGGGACTTCCTTCACTAAAACAGCTCTAATTCAACTGTCTCGTTCAAATGTTTGATATTCGCACCAGTTTGAAGTCAATTTGATAGTTACCTTAGCTATGATAATATAGTTGCAATTTTCAGTACCGCCCGAGTTTTGTTTACAGCTGCGACGCCACTCTTAAAGTGAATCGCATCCCTATTTTTTCAGCTTGTGTTATCGTTACGTTCACACTGGATTCCTTGATTTGCGTTAAACTTAGCCCTGCAGTATATGAAATATTGTTATCCACAATTTCCGATTTCCATCTACATCTACAAAAAAGTCCATTGCTACAACACCTCAACTATATTTCACTGTCGACTCGTGATTATTTCACGACTGTTGGCCCACATTAGAAATACGGATCTCCATCGCGGTTGGCTACTATCAAACTAAATATTTAGTTGCTGCGTGATCGAGTTGGGCCAGTAGTAAAAACAATCACGGTGTAAATTCACGTCACATACGTAAACAAACACACCTCAGCCACAAGATCCCCACTTGCTTAGCGTGCATTCTTGGGTAAATGGTCACTCTTAAGCACATTTGGATGACCAGTCGCGTCTTTTATCTGCGTGTAGTAATAAACCTCAAAGTCGCTGTAAGCGGCGCGATACTTTATGATCCACCAAGTAACCACCAACAACCTAAGGTTAACCTTTTGATGATTAGTTCGGATAAAAACTCGGTAACTTTTCTGGAATGGGTTGGACTCCCAAGTGCATAACAGCATAAGAGAATTTCAGAATCTGTAGTAACGGTACTTTCCTCAGCTTAGTTCTCGGTCTGAGCCTCCCAAGCTAGCCTTGGCGTCAAAGCAACCACCAAAGGTGCACAAGGTCTACTAATGCCCAAAACGAAGTCAGGGACAGTTGTACAGCGCTTCGTATATATAGCGTAGGCGGTCATAACTTTCTAAAATTCCTGACGCGTCCTGGATGCGCCATTGGCAACCGGCATTTGATCAATACTGGGTCATGATTGGCTGTTGGGTCCAGATCTCGTCTTGATGCCGGACTGGCAAGCGTGCCGAATTCTTGGCCAGTCTTGTGCGGGCTAGGCTTACCGGGCGTAGCCGCGTCTGAAGGCGTACGGTATAGCGGGATCCGTGTGGATGCCTTCCTAACAGAATCACTATTGCATGTGTACGTTATTGGTAACCCGTGATCGGTTATCACTACTGTGACAGAATACTGGTGCCCTCCAAGGCACACTGTGGAACACGTCGTGAATTTCCTTATTTTCTTCCTCCTTGACCATCGGTCGGTACAGAATCTCTCACAGACTCGAAAGCTTTCCAGCTTACCTTATCCTTGTTATGGTAGACTGATCCACACTCATTAAGTGGCACAAATCCAGTTAATCAAAATCTGTACATGCACACAAAGTACGAAAACCATTAGACTATGAGTAATGTCGATCTTGATAACTTTTTTCGTTTCTCGTTTTTGTACGCATGACAAGAACGTAATAAGAAGAAGCCAGAATTGGCTCCCACGTGTCCTGGGATTTGTTTCATGCAAGAGAATACATTCACATATAACGAAACTCATAATGCTGTCCAGTATCCACTTACTACGACTTCATTCTTCTATCCCACGTCCAATTCTAGTGTATCTACCTCTGAACGTTCCATCGCTTCAGTTGTAGATGCCTAATGTAGATACACGGTGGAGTGAGCCACTGTTCACGACAAACCCGTCTGCCGTCTTTGGCGCTGGAATGTCGCCGTGTCTCAATTTCCGTCTTAATTAGAACAACGGAGCTTTCAGGTGCCAGGAGCAGGGCAGCTCATAAACAGTCCCGTGGTAGATATGAAAGGCCTAGCCATCGAAATGACGGAAAAAATAGCCCCAGAAGTCAAGAGTTACCAAAAACTTTCTGAGCTCTCTATTTATCGGCCGCAAGCCGTGCAGGGATTCAGCATGTGTAGACCTAAGAACGGATCAGACAGTTCTGTTCTAGGTTTGAATTCCACGCGCACTGCTAATGGAGCATATTGAAGCACTCAATTAAAAGCTAACGTGTTGTTTTCATATATGTGTTGGAAACTTACAGGGAAGTTCTCCGAGAGAAAGGCCTACTGTAGCCTCTGTTTAAATCTAACTACAATTATCTGAGGAAGGGTTTTCGCTCCTTTCATGTGTTCGAGGGGCACAGAATGGTCAGTAGCACACGCAAATCCATAAGCAAACACACAGCCTGCTTGCAGCGCCAAACATGGTCGGAAGACCGCTCATATATGCAAAAGGAATTCATTGTGGCGTGCTAAATTCACCTTCTGTATCACGAAGATGGACACGATATAACGGTTTCCCGGAAAACTAACAAGTGACCAATATGAATAGCTCCTAGTTCCAAGTTGTACTCTTTCCAACTTTTAAAGATTTCCCTCGGGCTAAACCATTCTTATGTATATCATTCACGAAACGCCTGTGGATGGCGCCTTTTGAACCATTATATTCCAGAATTTCCTGGGATAGTCGCAGCTTTCTGAGCATTAGTTGTTATTAGAAGGGCGAATGTAACATGTAAAGTGCTAAAAACATTCATGGATCGATTTTTTTAGTTATGGAATGCTTTTAGTGGCAGCAGGACTCAGTGGACTGACCACCTTCCAAGTGAGCTGACCAGCGCCCATAAGAGACTCCTAACAAGTGCACTGATATCAAATAACTAAATCATTTATGCGACGGGCTTAATCGTAGCAGCTGGGTTATCTTGAAATTTGACAGTCCTTTCGAACAATGCCTTCGTCCAATAAGATCACACGGCCCAATAGCAGTTTAATGTTCATCAGGCTATCTAGTGGTAATGACAAATACCCTCATTTGCAGATCAGTTTGGTTTGTACGGGAGACTCAAGTGAATTACTTGTGTACGCTGTCGCATTCAGTTCAATTTGGTCTCAACTACAACATAGGGTGGATGAAAACTTTAGAACGGCGCCTACCTGATGGGCCCCAAGAAGGGCAAAACCGAGCGTGGGTTGTCGAAGAGTTTTCAGCAACCTTGTGAGTAGTTTCCTTCATCTAGTATTAATGTTTTATTTCAAACGAGTTATTCTCAACCGCGACTTACGATCACCGTTTGCGCAATAAATGTAACAATCGGTTAATTCCGTGCGCTTAAATCTCTCTTGTCCCTTACCTTACCACACTGCAAATAGAATGGATCACCGGTTTCTAAGTCTTCTCTACTCATCCACCATAAACATCTCACCCCACTTGTCAACTGTAACATGTTAGACCAATCTTTAAAAGCAACGTGGACAGTAGTCTCAGTATACGTCCTTTTGAAGATATCCTCGGGCAGGACCTACACCACATGTTTACTATTCGGAGTGTAAAGCCCATGTGCAAATCCCTGCTTTTTAGGAGACTTTGGATGCCGTTGAACTTCACACCACTCTTGTTTGAACGGTCATTCTCCTGTTCTGGCATGATCATTCGGGTGATTCCACACCGAAGGAAAGCACCGGACTAGAGCTTTTCTCTTATTAGAGCTCGTCAGCAGTGCTTATCAAATCTCCGTGCCAGGATTTGAACTCCGGACATCTGACATGCAAGGTGATTGCGTTACAACCACTCCGTCAACGCACGCCTGAACAAACAAAAATGTTTACGCTTGAGCGACGTGGGATTTCCCCGGAGGTTTCTTCTGTTTCAAAACTACCAATCCAATCGAGGGTATATGTGACGAACTATTAGTCGGTGTGTAGACTCCAGTTATCTCTCTCAGTCTACGATGGTCTGCAGTGTACTCCACCAGATGCTGAAGATTACAGAAATGTCGATACATAAACGCAAGCGCGTTGGCTGATGGCCTTTCAGAATGAAATCCCCAGTTGTTGAGACTGCTACTGTGGTCAAGTATGGAGCGGTTACAGGGTCTCACGAGGACGAGGGAGCTTCCTATTTAATTAAGCTACATGGTATCGGTATCAGCAAGCAGAAGTAAAGTGATGTTATTATCTGGTGCGCTTAATGAGCAGATTTGATACCAATTACCCGCTCACTTATTGGATCTCCGCCATAGTTGCATTCATGGACGCACGTTTGCGGTCCTTTGGTACTAAGTCTTGGGTCTGTACCACTTGATCTTATGACTGACTTGTATATACCATTTTTCTTCAAATTCGCCGCGTCCAATGATGCATTTGATCACTGAATCTCCTTATAAACTCATCGGTGTACATAGGGCTCCCTCATTTTCGCTAACAGGTCTAATTGAGCGATTATTAAGACTTTAGCAATTGCGCGGACAGTAATCGAGAGTTGTGGACAACGGGATTTAGTAGGTACTTGGTAAGTTAACCACTATAGCTTTGTTGAGCTGTGTTTTAAACGATAGTTCTGAAGAAGCACATCAGTTGTAACTGATTATAGATTTTTCCTTTAACAAACGCTATCGAGCTAAAGCGGCTTCCCTGAAACGAGAGCTGGGTTGACCACACGTTACGTTTGCACTGATGCGATCAATAAATGGAAGCATAATTTGCCGAGAGTGGTTTTGTATTTTCAGGTATAAGATTTGCAACCGTCGGCATGTAGGAATAGGAGCGACCGTCTCTAGTCATTGGATTGGGCTATAATATATAGTTGGAGCTTCTTAATCATGTGCGTCCATTGATACTGGACCGGCAGTTACTATAAGTAGCCAAGGTGGGTAAGAACGTGAAAACATAGGAGTGTGGGGGACACTTGTTGGTCGTTGGATCAGGTTACTGTGCAAATCTTGGGCTTTATGATCACCGTCGCACGTAGAAACAGGCCTAACGTTAATGATGATTAGCCTAGGTAGCATGATAGCAGGCAATGGTTGGCCACATTTTCCGCCGATGTGGTTGAGCCTGATGACGTAATCTGTTTGAGGAGCACAATTATTACCAACAGGAAGGACATTGTGGTGCGGTTAATTATCATGCATTGCGCTGTCTACCAATCACTTGTGCACATCAGACATTAGAGATTATCCACAGAGGTGCATACTACCATCAGAACTGCACAGTGCACCAAACTCTTTTCATTTTTGATACCAAATGGGGGCGAGTTTTCCGGAATGTGTTTTGTGTCGAAGTTCGCCTAGCAAATTGACATATTTTTTGCGTTTGAGGGTTTTCACGCACGCATGAGTTATTCCACTATTTTACGGTGTGAAATTTCTAAAAGGCATCCTGTTAAAGGTATCTAATGAGGTTACAATGCTACAATATTTTAAGGTTTGATTTTGTGCTCCCTCGCGTGAACCGCTAGTGAAAGGCGAATCAGTAGTGATCGATGACCTTGAAATTTCGCTCACTTAAATAGACTGCTATATCATCAAACCGCACAAACGGATTAGACTAATTCAACCTAGAATTTGAAAGTTTGAAGCCCCAATATTTTTGCCTAAAAGGATTTGGGCTATTTCCAGTGAGCGGCACAGGTAAAGTACGACTTAAAACTATATGCATTGCACAGAGAATGCCGGATACTGGATAGTTAAATCAGGAGAGGAAGTTTTCAAAAGTAACTCCGGGAATGTATTCTGGAGAGCCTCGTTCGAACTCGCTTGGAATATGTACAATGGGTGCCCAGTATTCGTACAATCTAATTGAATTTTCGAAAGGTAAGGTCTAAGGCAATCAAGCAGTTGAGTTGAAATTACCAATCCAAACTTTCAAGCCTCGTTTAGGCATCCCGAGGTCTTGGTGATGCTGGAAAATTATTCCATAAGACTTTTCAGCCAGAGGCGTGGTTGCTTCAGTGAACAATGAAATTTGGTGCACTGCATAAATATGAAATTAGATTTGGTCGGCTTTTGTTTTGCGCACATACGCGACAAAATGCAACATTTTGGCGTAGAAAGTTTTACTCCACTTATGAAATCGTTGCAGCTGACAGCGCTCTGCGGATGATGGGCACCTGTACAGTATGACAACATATACGCATGTTAAATTCCCAAGTTTAGTTAACATTAAAAAAGACGTCCACAGATAGAAAAATTCTATTCACCGATCTGCTTCACATCACTCAGCCTCATTATGACTATCTCCCCCGTTCCCTCCAATGTGTGGTTAGCAATAAATTCACATTTCAGACATTTTTTATATTAAACCTTATGGGGCGGATGCCGACAAACCTGACTTTCTTGTGGTTAAATGCTGCTTGCCTGAGAGAAAGCGATTTTAACCCCAATCTTCTAAACCGGTGACCTACAATCGTTAGGCAGTTACAGGCCAATAGGCCTCACTTGCATGCCGTGCAATTCGATGGAACGCATTCCTAAGCAATCCATCCTGAATCACCCCGTTGCCAACTGCTTGATATCTCGAGTTCAACACGGATTTCTTCCAAACCGTTCTTGTGCGACGAGCATACTCACATTTATGGACAGCTTATCCCAAGCCAAGGACGAGGGACTCATATCGGATGACACGTCTCTCGACTTCTCAAAAGCATTCGATAGAGTCCCGCACGCCCCGTTGTCCCACAATCTTGAGGCTTACTGGATTCAAGGGTCAATTTTGCGCTAAATGAAGGCGTTGTCGTCATTCGTAGTGAAAGCATGCTTGACCCATTCTCCTCCGATTCCTGTCTCCATCGGTGTTCTCCAAAGCTCTGTGTTGGGATCACTTCTGTTTCTGTTCCCCGTCAACGACCTTCTAGATGTTCTTTTAGGCGTATGCCAATTTTCTTCCCGCAGTTCCGACGCGCGAGCGCTCCAAACGGATGCTGATGCTGCAAAGCAGTGGCTATCGGACAGGCACTTTACCCTGAATTACGAAGAGTGCGCCCATATATCATTCGGAGGAGACTCAGGGAACGCCCTTTGGTGGATGTTGCGAATGGACCAGAAGACATCAGAAGAATAGATGCCAAAATGATTACTCATCTGGGTGTCTTCAAACACGTCCATCTCACTGCACCATAAAAGGTAGGCTCAAAAAGGACCATCCATTCTACGGATGATTTGATGCACCTTCACCTGTATCACTCTGACTTATTTCCAGATACGTCTACGTCAGACCGCTTCTTGGTTATGCCAACCAAGCTGTCTACTCAGGACGTATTCCTTTTAGAGCGTGTCCAACGGGCTGCAGGAAACAGTTGCCGGCCCTAAGTCTGTGGACTACGAAACGCGTCTTGCGTCTGGTAAATAGGCTTCTCACTGTTGACCCAGCTAACACACCGGGGGACGTGGAAGAGGGTTTGCAAGCTCAGAGCGCAAAATTTTATCGGGCAATATATTTTCCCACTTCGACTAGTTGCTACGCGAAACAACCTTCCCCCGAAGGTTGTTGACGTTACGCCCAGTATCTACTTCAAAGCGATATTAGACAATTTTATGTGAATCACCGCGCTTGCAAGCTTGCTGCCCCACGCTGAGAACGTTAAATTTTGTGCCACGCTCTTTTTTGCTTGTGGCTTTCGAGCGAAAGTAGCCGTATGACGACAAGAGCAAAACCGATCCAGGAAACTCGGGTGAAAGCCTCGATCCTGTGTATCATTCTGTGATTCAGTGGATCCATGAATGAAACGTCGTGAGAATTGTGTTTCACGACTGATCATGGTAGCGGACAAGAGCGCAAAAGTGGAAACAAAGACAGACAACGGAAGCCGCAACCGAAACGCACCCACCACATGCAGTCCACAAGCTTTCTCTATTGGACTATGCGGCTATGGTGGTAGTTGGTTATAGTTCAGTGGTCAAGCCAGTCAGTTGCTTGAGCTTTGCTCATGGGTGGGTGGACTCGCACCTCCAGTTACGGGCGTCCCCCATGTCGCTTGCAGGTGGTTTTCGACTGGAGGGTGTATGAAGCTGATTGTCTGAGTGCTTCAGATACCTATGTGCCACCCTAGAGAAAGCTAATAAATCGTCGAGAGAGGTCGACGCTCCTGCCTGCCAACATCCTATTCGTATCTGCTTCGCCCGTAATCCATTGAGATGCTTTGTGCAGTAGTAGGACCGGAGTACCATTGTCCCTGCCGGGATGAAATTGGCGCTGGATAATCGGGAAATGGAAAGCGCGATGTCCAGGATAATGCGGTCAATGAAGAAATGCTGCCTTTTATTTGGGTAGTCAATCAACTAATTTCCGTTTGTTTCCGGCTGGTATTCTTCGCATCCTTGCGAGTGTGGTATGCTCGCCGCAATGAGCGACCGGAACAACCTAACGCCCACCATCGGTGCCTGGACTCCAGCGTTCGCCCTGTGCAGCCCGCTTGAAGTGGCTCATTATGGACTATAGGCGCCCCGAGATCTGGTCTATACATGTATATTTGAAGGGTAAATTGAGGGAAGGTCCGCAATGATTGTTTCGGTATGGTGATCAACCAACGACCAGGCGACAAACTGCAGTTGTTCAGATTGAGAAGATAACGACTACGCTTTCGCCACCATAAGGCCTTTCGAAAGTGACTGTTGATGTTCTGCTTGATGAACTTTTCAATAGAGGTGTAAGCAATCGTTTTCTGGATTTTCTGGGAGTGTTCTGGTGAGGCGATGCAAGACCGTATCAGAAATTTCGCAGCGCCGGGTACCGCGCAATTGAGACAGCCGACACGAGATAATCCATCTGCTTCCCACTTCCTATTGACTAACTGAATAAATTTGGAGCACCCATTGTCTTTTGCGGCGCCGTCCGCTGTTTTCGAGTCGACAGTTGGGCATCATCCAATCTATCCAACCTTATGAATGCCTAACTCTTCACTGTGGAAAATCGGGAAGAAACCCTCAGCAAGAATGTTTGAGGTCATTGGTACACCTACATTCGTCTTGAAATGCACGACTTAACTTACCTGTTTTGTCAACCACGCGAAGGGCCCCCAGTATTCGCACAATGGAATTGAATTGTCGAAAGCTATGGCGTGTCCGTGATGTACATAAGTGATCGGACAATTGGTTTCAGAGTACCAGCCCAAACTTCTGAGCTCAATTCAGGCATTCTGGATTCTCAGACAAGCCGGTAACTTATTCCACCAGATGTATGATTGCTTCAGTGGGCAGTGAAATTTGGTGGGCTGCAGAAATACGAGTGTGTATTGGAATGGCTTTTGGTTTGAGAACATGGGCAACAAAATGCAACAGTCGGGCGCAAAACGTTTTGCTCCACTCGTAAAGGCTTCGCAGCTAAGAGTGTCGTGCGGCTAATGCACCCCAATACGAACCGATGTGCCTTGTTGATTGGCAGTAGGCAACAGCCTGAACTTAAGTCTAGGCCGGCCTGCTGTTGTCATTTGTGTCAGCCTGGAGTCGTTTGGCTTAGGGAGGCTGCATGTACCTCGTAAAGTCGTCGAGAAGCTCTCGTACCCTAATCTGAAACAAGCCTGCCAGATCCCTCTAGGATAACACTTTGGTGTTGACTTTTATGATGTCGTTATCGGAAGTATATATACTTCCAGTAAGGCGTCAAGTGTTCCGCTTGTAAAATGGTTCACCCGAATAAATCTAGACACTGGATAAATCCTTTTGACCTGGCAAATGAGTGTGAAAAAGATTACGAAATGTCGGGTTGCCGGTGCGACTGGCCTTCTAGGATGCCACCTCGCCCGTGGATATAATTTGACATGGCTAAGGACTCACGTGAGCATCCATTTACTTGGTCGGAGCACTGAACGACGTGGCGACAAAGCAGTGGCGTTCATATGGTATCTATGCTGTTTGACTGATTTTTGAATGTGCAGATCCCTTGGATTTTTGTTGTAGACTAGCCCTGCACCCTCCCCGCCAAATTTCTTCATTCTTTTCATCATGAGGCTTTGTTCGCGTAAACTGACATGGTTGTATGGCGGTGGGACACTAGTAATCTATTTCTCAGAAACATGCAAACAAGATCCAAGTGTGCTTGTGCATCTAAACGCCTAGGATAAACTCATCTTTTTCACGTCTCTTTCCGCGTGCCCGGTGACCCAGAAGCGATTACTCGTGGAACATACGGCGCGATAGCTTCACTGAGCTCCAGAAATGTACGCGCTTTTCAGCGAACGGTCGTCTTTGCACCGTCCGGTTATCCAGTTCAATCAAGATCACTGCTTTGGCATAAAAGGTGGCGTCTGTTTTATAGTATTGGTTTATACCCACACAAACTGCAGTCCTTTAGAGAGCTATCCGGGCTCATTCGTCTGGAAAAAAGCACTGGCATTGTGATCCTTTCAGGCGATATGAATGACCAAGTAGGCCGTCTTAGTTCCTTGGAATCACATTTAGGCTTTCAATTCTGTACGGAGGCCAGCCGTCCCTAATAACCGAACACCATTTCATTTGGACGGCTTTGTCACGTGCAGGACACAGACCAAACGAAGGCACCCACCCATTGGTCAGAATGCCAGCTAATCCGAGTCAAGCACCCTTATGGGATTCAAGGAAAAATCCTTCGTTGGATCAAGGCGTTCCCGTCAGACAGATCATTCCGAGTGAGAATAATCTCGACCTACTCCTCTTCAGCGCCGGTCTCCATTGGAGTTCCCCAGAGCTCCGTCTTGGGACCACTCCTGTTTCTGATCTACGTCAACGACCTCCCAGACGTTCTTGCGAGTCCATGTTTACTTTTTGCGGACGACTTGAAATCCTGGAGTTCCAATGCCAGCGCCCTCCAAATGGATGTAGACGCTGCCAAGCAGTGGTCGTTGGACTGGCACCTTCCTCTGAATGATGAAAAGTGCGTCCATGTGTCGTTTGGAGGGGATTCAGCGAATGCCTTTGTTATGCATAGTGAAAAGGGACCAGGAAATATCATGAGGATAGATGCCAAAAAGGATTTGGGCATCTGGGTCTCCTCAAACTTGTCCTTCGCACTACACCATGAGAAATCGGCCCAAAAGGCATTCGCCGTTTTACGGATGATCCGACGTACCTTCTCCCGTATTACTCGCATGGACTTCCAAATACTCTATGGGGCATAAATCAGACCGCCCTGGAGTACGCCAACCAAGTTGTCTACTAAGGACGTACGAAAGACGTCGAAACGCGTCTGGCGACGCTTGATCTCTTTCCCCTGGAGTACCGTCGCCTCCGAGGGGACTTAATTCTTACTTACGCCCTGTTTGAACAAAGCTTGGCAAACAAGTTTTTTACCGTTGACCCAGCAAACACCCGGCGGGAACATAGTAAGAAAATTTTCAAGCTCAGAGCACACACATTGATTAGACATAATTTTTCATCATTTCGGGTAGTAGCTGCGTGGAATGACCTTCCTCCGACGGTCGTCCACGCTCCTTCTAGAACCCAGTTTAAGGCACTGTAGGACATTTATTTATGCGAATCCTCGCACTGACAAGCATACTGCCCTGTGCTGAGAACATAAAGAGCAGTGCTACACCCTTTTTTCACTCGTGCCTTTCAGGTGAACGACAGCCACTGACGGACAAGAAAAAACCCACCCGGGAAAGTTCGGAAAAAGCCTCGATCCTGTGTGTCAATCTGTGAATCCGTTAAACCTTGACTCGACGCTTCTCGCCCCCTCACGGAAATTCTGGCACGACATTGTGAAACACTCCGTCGCTACCCTATAAACACAGTTGTAATAATTTTCCTTTGTCTCCATAGAGGGCTGTGTAGAGCTACCGGGCCTTTTGATATACCACATTAGGCGGAGCAGGAAGCCGAGGGACCGATACAGATTTGCACGATCGTCCACCAATTCACAACACTCTCGGAGTGTCTGTGCGAACACTTTATCTCAGCTGGATCTAAAACGCTTACACGCAACTCTTACCATCCTGGAACAACTCGCATGATGCATTTCGTTCGTGCCAAGAATCTCCCGTTCTCTTTAGAGGACATCCGACTTGCCATTAAACAGTGTCATATTTGGAGGCGAGATGGCCCAAGTGGTTAGAGCGCGAATTTCCTGACTGGAAGATCCGTGGTTTGAGCTCGACCTCCGCCACTCGACTTCCCCTGTCTAGGCTTCGGCAACCTGACAGTATCCCAGCCCTCGTGCCCCCTTCGTGTGGCATGGCAGCTAGGCCTTGAAAGGGTAATACAGCTGGACCATTTTTTTTCAACATAACATCATTGTTCATCACTGATGCTTCGCTGCCGCACAACCGTGATTTATTTTTCAACCCATGTTGCGAAGGAACGGATAAAAATGGATGGGAAATGGACTAATCAGAACCCCACCACAATCACTCCGAGATGCCAACACCTCCCGACACCCAATCAGGCAATTTGGATAGAAACTGACATCAAGAGCCCCAGTGACATTGAATGGCAGTCATATCTCGCAGCGTCTCTAACCAGACGCAGTGGGGACCACGCGGTCCGAATCCTGGAATGTTGGTAGCACCGATATCACCGGAACTTTTCGTTCGCTTCCACACCCGTCCGCCAGGCCAAACGACTGCATGTCCAGGGGCATAACCTTGCGCTTTGTGAGAGCAAAATGCACCCCACAGTATGGGATGACTTTTGTCAGTTCAAAGACCGGAACGATGTCGTCTGCATACTCTAGACCGACAGGCTTTCGTGGGAAATTATTTGAACACCAAGGCTCTGAAGAGCTCTCAGCGTTTATGTCAAGTTTCCCGTTGCTGTGACCTAAATTATCGACCAAAGCGGTCTTGGCGTCTTTCGTTCTGTAGGTTTTCGGCCGATATCGTTGTAATTTGCTTGGTGTATTGTTGTTTCCCTAATCCTTCAACTATTGGGTCAGTTGGCACATGTTACTTCCTCATGAATTAGGGGAATATGATAAAAAGTGTGCGGGGTGGTCCAAGTGGTTAGAGTGCGAATTTACTTCCCGGAGGTCCGTGGTTCGAACCCGACATCTGCCACTCGACTTTCCCTGTCTAGGCTTGGGCGACCTGGCAGTATCCCAGCCCTCACGCCTCCTTCGTGTGGCATGGCAGCTAGGCACCGAAATGTTGTTACATCTGAACGATTATTATTCATTGTCAGTGTGATACGTGTGCGGAATTAAAACCACGTTTCTTCAAGCCATCTGATGGTGCACTCATTAAAGCCACACAGACGTTTGGACGTTTAAGCATTGACTTTAAGGGACCATTGGATTCGACGACTCAAAACAAATATCTACTGATGGTCGTAGACGAATTTTTCCGTTTTCCGTTCCTTGTACTTGTCTAGATAAGTCAGTCTACGGCGATATCATGCTTTGCGCCGCTCTTCGCTACATTTGACTTTCCCAGTTTCGTGCATTCCGACTGCGGCTCATCATCCATTTCGGATGAGGTCAAGCAATTTCCTCATGAAATAAGGCGTCGCCGCCAATCGGACCACTTGTGACTCTAAAAAGCTCAGGAGACAGACTCCGGCATCACTGTCAGTGACTCGTTCTCGATGAATCAGCCCGGATAACTCGATAGAAAGTTCCCTTCTCAGCGCAAGTATTTCATTCTGTTGGAGCCCACCATTTTTGAATTTGACTCGAACTGAAATCGATCGAGCTCGTTAACCGAACGTCGCAGAGGCGGCTGTTAATTGGATGACTGCACAGTTCATCAAAGGATCTTCAGATATGGGACTTAGTGCAAGTGCAACATCATATATTCCACGAGTAATCGTTTTCCGTATCACTAGACATACCCAGAGGGAAATATGAAAGAGTTGATTTCGTCTTTGTCGTTTTGGGATGCAACCCCCGCTTGAGTGTTGTATGCACGCTTGGCAGACGCATCGCACATCAATTTCGATGGAATATTGCTTGTTTGTCAAATTGACTCAGAGAAGGCATTTCGAAAACTCCTTTGCGCAAAAGACCTCAAGGATGTAGCAAGGCGCTATTTTGTTTGTTTCCAGTGGGAAGCAGATTGTCAGGTAAATCTGGCGGACATCACTGTTCAACACCGATGCTTCACTGACGTGCAACTATGATTTATTTCAAGGCCTCATTGTAAAGAAAAGAGTAAAGGTGGACAGGGAAAGAACTATTGCTACCTTACAGCAATCATTCCGAGGTGCTTACACCTCCAGACATTCACTCAGGCGATTTGGATAGAATCTGACAACAAAAAAGCTACGGACATCGGTTGGCAGCCATATCTTGTAGTGTCTCCAACCAGGCACAGTGAGGATCACGCGGTCCCCATCCTGGGAGCCGAGCAACACCGATCTCCTTCATACTCCCCTGCCAAGTCAAGGGTTGGCCACCTCTGTTCACGTCACTCTGAGTTGGGCATGGAAAACAGCACTCTTTTCGGCAACACATGTCCCACCCAACGCAGCTTCTGGTGCTGGACACATTCTTCAATGGAAGTACCCGTTACACAACCGAAAACACGCTTTCTAACTGCCTCGTTACGGATTCGCTGACACCAACCCACACGAGCTATGGTTCTCAGACAACGATTGTCGAACACCTGAAGACGTCTCAGGTCCGCTGCTCGAATAGGCCAAATCTCACAGCCATACAACAAAACAGCCCGTACTGTAGCTTGATACACACGCCCCTTCAGATTCAGCATAGGTGTCTCAAGTTAGCAAACGCAACCCGAGCTTTATAGGTTCGTGCATGGACCTCATGTCACAACACAATCAGAACTAATACAACTTCCAAGATACGTAAAACGCTCCGCAACTTCCTGTGCATCCCTCTGGTGTTAGGCAGGTCAGAACCAGAAGATACCTTGGTCGCAACAATCGCCTTGGAACCAGAGGTTAGCCGTGTAGTATCCGAAGCGGTTCGCACCCTCCCAGTGACTGCTGACATGGTCCGCCAGGCTACCGACCAAGACCCTGTGCTGCAGCAAGTCATAAATTACCATCGCAATCAGTGGCCGCGTACCTGCCAAAAAGACAAACTGAAGCCTTACTTCAACCGGCGTGACGCATTATCGATAGCCGATGGATGCCTGTTGTTTTCAGAACGTGTGGTCATCCCAAAGAATTTACATCCAGCCGTCCCGAATCAGTTCCACAAAGGGCACCCGGGAACTAACAGGATGAAGGCCGTTGCTCGGATTTATGTCTAATGGCCCTTGATGGACTCCCGGATCGAGCAAGTCTCGAAATATTGCCTGCGTTGCGCTGAAGCATCCAAGTCGCCGGTGAAAACCTACCTACGCTCGTGGCCGCAACCGACCGAACCCTGGTCTCTTTTTCACATCGATTACGCAGGTCCAGTGGGTTGCCAACACTTTTTGGTCGTGGTCAACGCTTACAGCAAATGGCCGGAAATTTTTCCGGTGAACAGCCCCACAACTGTCATCACAGTCATAGAACTCCGACGATTGTTCAGTCACTTTGGAACGCCAGAGACTATTATACCCGACAACGGCAGTCAGTTTACGTCGTCGGCGTTCGCACACTTTTGTCGGGAGGATGGCATAACGCATACACGCTCACCGCCTTTTCATCCACAGTCGAACGGCCAAGCAGAACGCTTTTTTGACACTCTCAAGCGGGCAATTCAGAAGTCCAGGGGGAGGGACCAACGGAAGAGATTTTGCAAAGGTTCCTGCTGGCATATCGAGCGACGCCAAACCCCAACTCACCTGATGGAGTATCACCAGCAGGGGCACTGCTCCGAAGGAGGCTCCGAACACCGCATGACACTATCCGGCCACAAACGAAGCAGGCTGGTCACCGCAACACCAGAATGGAGGAACAGTTCAACCGGCATCATGGAGCAACTGCGCGCGCATTCAGCGAAGGCCAGAGAGTCTTGGTTCGTGACAACAGCGGCAGACACCTATGTAGACCCCAGGACTCATCCTTCGCCCGCGCGGCAAATTGCTCTACGAGACTCGAGTTGGTCCAGCCAAGTGGATACGCCAGGCGAACAAAATCCGGCCGACAGATGCGCACTGTCGGCCGGATTTTGTTCGCCTGGCGGATCCACTTGGCTGGACCAACTCGCACCTGTTAGGACCGAGTGANACGTCACTCTGAGTTGGACATGGAACACAGCACCCTCTTCGGAAAACGATGGTTCGGCATACGCAGCACATGTCCCAACCAACGCAGCTTCTGGTGCTGGACACATTCTTCAATGGAAGTACCTGTTACACAACCGAAAACGCGCTTTCTAACTGCCTCATTACGGATTCGCCGACACCAACTCACACGAGCTATGGTTCTGAGACAACGATTGTCGAAAACCTGAAGACTTCTCAGTTCCGCTGCTCGAATAGGCCAAGGCGCACAGCCATACAGTGAAGCAGCCTGCATTGTAGCTTGATGCACACGTCCCTTGTGATTTAGGGATACATCACTCTGACGCCATATGTGTCTCATATTGGCGCACGCGGCCCGAGCCTTGCAGATTCGTGCAGTCACCTCATCTGTCACACTACAATCAGAACCATTACAACTTCCAAGATACGTAAAATGCTCCACAACTTCCAGTACATCTCCCTGGATTGTAAGTGGCGTGTTCACACGTCCACAAGCGTGATCCTATATTTTGTGCGTGCAAAATGCATACGAAAGAACGGAATGACTTTAGTCGGTTCAACCAAAAACGTCTTCGCCTTCTCCTCCTCTTCGAAGATGAGAACTATGTCGTCTGCATATTCCAGATCTACAAGGTTTTCTTCACAGGCTATTTGAACACCAGGATTTTGGGGACCCTCCAGCGTTCGTCTCATTATTTCATCGATCACAAAGTTAAAAAGGAATGGGGAGAGGGCATCCCTGATGGACACCGCTTTGTGTGCGGAAGCTTTCGGAGAGCTCTCCGTACACACTCACAAGTCCGGAAGTCTGAGAATACAAAGAACGCATTATGTTTACGAACTTCTGGGGCATTCTTTGGTGGGCAAGCGCCTTAAGAAAGACAGACCGATCAACCGGGTTGAATGCGCCTCGGAAATCCAGGAATACTAGAATTGTGGGTCGCTTATACGTATGGCGTTGTTCTACCACCTGATGCAGTGTGAAGCTTTGGCCGACACAACCCCTACCAGATCGGAATCCCGCTTGCTGCTTTCGAGTCAGTATCTCACGAGCCGCCGTAAGGCGACAAAGCACAATTGACGCCCACAGTCTCGTTACAACCGGGGTCAAGCTGATCCCCTTGTGGTTACCACACTCACTACGCGTCCCTTTTTTGAAAACGGACACTATCACCGATTCCCCCTTCGTCTGGGACAGACTCCGTTTCCTAAATGCAAGCAAACAGATCGGGCAAGCGCTGATTGAGGACTTCACTCCCGTCTTTGAAGAGTGCGGGTGGGAGGTCATCCGAATCAGGAGCTCGGTGGCGCTTGGGAGAACATATGCAGTCGTAAACCTTCGAGGCCGTAGGTGTTCACTGTCCAGAGTTCTACTTCACCTGTGGGCTCTGGATGAGTGCCGGCTAGTGGCCACGACAGTTGTTGTTCGAAGCATTCAGCCCACCGGTCGAGGCGTTCTTCTTTGTTCGAGATGGTCGTTCCATTCTGATGTTTAATGGTTTCACCCACAGGTGGTTTCCGGGGACCGGTCGCACGTATCAACTGAAATGATCTCCAGGCATTACCGGCTTTCTGGGCCGTGTCTGTTTCTTTGGCTTTCTGTGTCGACCAGCAATCAGTCATTGATCTGCGCCATCGGTAACTGATGGCAATGTGGTCGGTCTGAGTTTGTGGCCGGCCTGCCGTTGGACGACTTCGGCTATTTCGGAAGTTCGTACTGCATAAAAACAGCCTGCGATTGGCACACAACTGAAGCAATCGTTCCACATTGTCCGTACGTACCGAGTCCAGTCCATGTCGACCTCCCAATTGAGTCTCAGATGCACTAAGCCTGGCAACTCAATGCCAAGCGAGTCCAGTGTGAATGCAAGAGCAGCTTCTTGTCCTGCTTGCTTTGGAGTGACAAGATAGCATATTTAAATCGTCCAAGCCCAAAAGAAACAAAGATATAGCACAGTCTTTTTATATCTTGGCAAATTCGCGAGCACTGGTTTGAAGATTTATTTTCCGGTTCTTGCCTTGTTTTTTTGCTTTCACAGCGTCGACAGACAGGTGATGTCGTTGTCCTTTGATGACCGGCTGCTTGGAGAGAAGGTAAACAACTACTGCAGTAGCAGTGAGGATGAGGGGGAGAATGGTGAAGGTGATGAGGAACCTTCAAGCCAGATGCTTCCGGAGCCTGGTGCTTCCTCAATCCCCCATCCCGACTTTAGCAACCAGCCTCAGGTATTTTTCCTTCGCAGTATTTTTTCCTGTTTTTTTTAATAAATTAAGACAGGCCCAAAAGGTGTTCTTTCGGATTACAAGCAATACAAAGCACTGGAACGACTGAAGGAAGCGCAGAAGGAAGAAGAGCTCATAGATGCAGCGAAAAAGAATACGCTAATCTCCCAAACTCATGTTTGTTTTAACATTGCCCCATCTGAATAAGGTGTTCTTTCGGATTACAAGCAATACAAAGCACTGGAACGACTGAAGGAAGCGCAGAAGGAAGAAGAGCTCATAGATGCAGCGAAAAAGAATACGCTAATCTCCCAAACTCATGTTTGTTTTAACATTGCCCCATCTGAATTTGGTCTAGGCGGAGGAATGCGTGACTAAAATGCAAGACCTTGCGGTTTCAGAGGTTCTGGAATCACTGGATGACGACGATGAATTTATCGCGCTGTACAGACAAAATCGAATGCGCGAACTAAAAATGTCATTGGAGCGATTGTAATGCACTTGTTCCCACTGATGTCCTTAGGCCAGTTTTCGGAACGGTGTACACACTCACAAGCTCGAATTTCGTGCAGGAAATTGATTCGACTGATCCCAGTGTGACTGTGGTGGTGCATATTTACGAACCGGTTAGTTCGCTACTGACTTGTTCCTCCTAGCTTTTGGCAGGATAACAGTGCCTGCAGGAAAGTGAACGATTACCTGGAGACACTATGCACGGAATATCCACATGTACGATTTTGCCGAATACAGGCTTCGAATGCGCATCTAAGTTATCAGTTCGTAAGTTTTTTTGTTGTTTCCCATACAAGCGGAATTTTATCCCAGTGCATGTAGGTTTACGTAGTAGGCTGTACCACACCGCAATCATCCAAAGGCTAGTTCTCAACCAATATGAGACGAACCGAATTCTTGTCCTCCTGTGATATCAGTACATTTATGGGCGATGGATTCCTGGGGAAACACAGGAGAACCGCGTAAAATATGTAGGACTCGGAACTAATTATTTTAGGCCAGTTCTCCCTTCTAGGCAGAGACCAGGGGCTTCCAAATTGTTTTCTCCAATAAAGGTGCTCCCATGTGGGCTGGTGAGTATATGCCGTCGATACTGTGGTAGTGAAGTTCCATTTGTATCCAGATATTTTCAACAAATTTCTTGAGTCCGGTATTCATTATCCCTGAAACCCATTGGTCACATATTGACGCAATATCATGGGACTGTAGAACAGAAGTCAGCCCCCGTAAACGGAATGATGGTCATGTAGGACAAACCACACTCGTGTCTGAACCAACTATGCCTTTTGAACAAGACCAGGGACCTTATTGATGTTCACTGACTGCTGTGGCGTCAAGTCAATCACTACATAAGATGGTTAGACACGGCCCCACAACCGATGTTCTGATGGAAATCGATCGCGTTGTCGTCCAACCGCGCAACTGGTTAATTTGTGGCGTAATTGCTGGATCTGTACGGACCATTCGTTCAGTGATCCTTGATCGCGGTTTTGTGCAGGAAATAATTTCAACAGCTGTTGATAGCATTGTCCGCGTACTCTTACAGAAAAGTATTGTGGATATAGTATTCCTATGGGCATCTCCGTTTCTTCAACATACGACTTCCTCTCCATTATCGTTTCAGAAAATGCGTATCTTGCATTTTAGTTTCCAAATCCTATGCAGTCTAATCACTGTTCATCGTGACTTTCATCTTGTTGTTCAACTGTAATGAGTTTGAAAATAGGAACCTGTGGCACTGGTTTCACTCACAATCACTTCGAAGTTCAAAAACTGCAGTCAAGCACCCCTCCCCCGCCAATAAAGACTGCCTTGTCCTGTTTGGGCTTAAGAGATGGATGGGGTAGCACAACACTAGCGTGATGGTTCTCAGGAGCCAGGTACTGAAGTAAATGGAGTTGTGATTGCGACAATAAATGTTTTGAACTCGTGGGCTATAGATTGCGTAGAGCACATCACTTTAGCCTGTGAAACTCAGTCTGGTGCATTTTATTCCATTTTCTTGTCCTCGATCATTGTTGTTATGTGTGTAACTGTCCTATTTGCCTGAATGTGTTTGTAGTCCCACCCGGGTAGCCTGGTGCTTGATACATCTCACGGTTTCCGGTTCCTCTGCTTCCCTTCCCTTCACAGTCTCGTTCTGGTGTTCCGGCTATTGTTGTATACAAGCGGGGTGAAGTCATTGGTAATATGCTACGCATTGACCGCGATCTGGGCAACGAATTTTACGCCAGTGATTTGGAAAATTTTTTGGTTGAGTAAGTTCTGCCTTACCTCTCTTCAGTCACTCCTGCAAACATGCCTTCTGGCTTACAGCGGCTTGCTTTGGGGCGTGATGGCTCAGTGGTTAGATCGTGGATTTACTTACCTGAAATTCCTTGGTTCAAACCCGGCCTCTACCTCCCGACTTCCCCTACCTAGGCTTGGGTAACCTGGCAGTATCCCAACCCTCGTACTTCCTTCGGGTGACATGGCAGCTAGGCACCGAAAAGGTGTTACAGCCGGACGATTTCTTTACGACTTGCTTTCGCTTGGATCGGTCTGCCAAAACCGTTTGAGTTACTTATGTTTGACGTCCCGATTTTTGGCGCACCTACCAACGGTTAACTTGAGTGGCGCTGAAAGACTCAGTCTTATTTGCATCAAGACGTTTTTTTCAAGCTGCAGCCTACGCAGTTCCAGAACCAAAACAGCTAAAAATCACAGCGTCAATTGCCTTCGAGCTCACTCTCTATAGTAGGTGACTCATGCTGACCGATTCCCAAGCCTTGTCACTTTGGCGGTAACGACTTACTAGATTACTGTTGGGGAGAAGCCATTTCATCCCTCATATTTTTAACCTTGATCAGTTACTTTTTAGAGAATTCGGTGGGATATTCCAGGAGACAAAAAGGAAAACGAATGTACTTTTTGACTACTTTGTATAGTGCAAGGGAAACCGGCTATCCGTCTTTTCTATGTAGTAGTAATGGGATTCACAACGAATGTTCACAATGTGGGCATACGTGACTGAATCATGTAAAGCCAAAAGGTATATAATCCTAAGTAGCCTGGAATCTCCCACTCATTTATTCCATGTAGGACAGAGTAGCAGAAAAGTGAACCTGTGGTCGACGCAGAAGAACATTTTCGACAGTTGGACGTTGAAAGATCGAACACGCGTTCGTTTGGCTACTGGTATTAGGCTGTTGTTCCCCGAACCACGCGTTCATCGACTTGTGGGCGCAGCTGGTAAATTGGGCTCTTTATCTAAGCAGCTATTGTGTCATGCAGACAGTCAACTGACCATTGGTGACTTGTAAGAATGTTTCATTGTCTAAGCAACCATCGACCATCACTGAGATCTCTGGATTAGAGAGTCCGTTTTTTTCTAGCCCTTGAGTTCTTTACAGGAAACGATTACTGTCCAGGTAACTGGTAATCAGCTGACCATGTGAATGAGTCGACAAGCTGTCCGACCAAGAAATACGCCTAAGCATTCAAATGTTCGCTCATTGTTGATATTGTTTATTCGGGACTAATATCAGTGGATATTCGGTTTCAAGGATATTAGTGTAACGGTGATACTACTGATGAGGGGGCATGCGAGTAGTGTGTTTTGGTATTGCAAATTCGCTTTGCTTCTCTTGAAAGGGGGGATCTGTTGCAAAATTTGTGGAGTCGCTTTGTAGCATTTGCGTGAATTTGTGCAATGAATGATTGGAGTTAATGAATATCCAGGAAAGCCCAAGAAGACGCGTTCAGGAGAAGATGGATGTCCAGTTTTTGTAAATAAGTTGCAAATGAGGTTTTGCTTCCCTGTCCAATAGTTGGCCTTTTCTAATGAATAACTCCACAGCGAAGGTTTTCTTCCTTTCATCAGTAGTTCGTCAACTTTTAAGATATATGAACTTCACCATGTTTTCAACCACAGCATCAACGGACGGGTTCTCATACAACTTTCTCTCCAGTCAAGCCTGATATGTATTTTTGCCCACACAATCGGTTCCAAAGTATTGTTTTGTTAAATATCTGATGACAAAATTTCACACTGCGAAAATTACCCGGGAAAAATTACATGCAACGTAGATGTGAATCACTCCATTATATCGTGATCAATTAATTAGTTCTATGCAACAAACACGGATATTCATTTAGTTTTGATGTTTTGCCAGGATAATGCTTGCTTCTCCAGGTCTCCACCTGATTCAGAATTGGAGTATTTTTCACCACTATCTTAGTTCCAACAATACAGCCTGATTCGCTGGCCCACTCCATTTTCATTGAAGCTGAAGCTGCGTTTTCATCGCTTTATCCAGTGAACGGAGTAGTTGGGTACTTGTAGCCTGTCCCTGTTACTGCGGTCAAGATCAGTGATAATGCTCACATGCTGTTGCACGAATCGCACGCCAACAATTCAATGGCAGCCATAAGTGGTATGCGGTCAGTTGATCAACAGCCCTTTGTCGCTTTCGCGATTAGCATGGTTTTTGTAGTACAGGCAGTTTTGACTGAGTGGATTTGTCTAGACCGATCGATAGGATTGACTTGTAGTGTAGCTCAGTCAATGGGAACCGCATGGCCATCACTTTGCTACCCATCATTTCACCGTGTGGTGGTAGAGAAACCTATCCATCCCACTTTTCATGGAACGGTCCGACAACTCGGAGTCGTCAACAGATTGGTCGGGCAAATTTACTGTCCACCTCAGTTACTACGGGTGTAACGTCACTTAAGTCGGGCTGACAAAAGTAGTGCCAGAACCTGTGGTGTGGCATCTAACAATTCCTCTAACGGTCCTTACCTCATTTTCGGAGCTTCACCAACTCGTTCTTTGAAACCCTTTACTTTTCGGATTTAGGTAACCCGTCGATGTTGACTATCTTTGATCAGAACCCGTACGATGTAACGGAACTCAGAACTATTATGGATTACATGCTAGACAAGACCACTACATAATTCACTCTTGGCAACTTTCTGGGTTTTTTCCCACGCCAATAGTGCGGACACTGGATGGGGATAGACTAGTGTTATCGACATTCCACCACAAAGACGATCAACGACTTGAAGAAAACGGCACAGTTCCTGATAGGGCTGTTTCTCCCCCACTTGTATCAGGAATGGGACCCCGACCTAATAACAGTCAGGCAAACAAGATTTCCATTAGTCGGACGAAATAATGAAATATTAATTGTTCAGTTAACAAATCCCTTCGGTACCTAGCCGCCCTACTGTCCGGATGAGGCACGAGGGCCGAGATACTGCCGGGTGCTCAACCCTAGACAGGAGCGGTCGAGATGCAGTAGTTGGGTTCGAGCCACGGACCTTCTAATCAGTAGGTTCGTACCTTAATCACTGACTCATCTCGAGCTCGAACATGACATGAAACCTTCTCGGTTAACTTTCCTAGAATTTTTCAGACATCCACGCTTATTATCTTATCACTAAGTTGTAATTTCATTGTAATGCTTTTGTCAAACCTAATTGGAACGATTAAACAGTGTATTCGTCACTTTGGTCGACTGATTGGATTTCGGAACATAACCTCTGGGACGCATTTCTTTGCATGTTTATAATAGGTAGTCAAGTTCGTGCCCTCTCTCAAGAAGGGGAAAGGGAAACCACTCATCAGCAAACAGTGCCATGCATTCTAGAGAGGCGGGATACCCTCCTGGAAATCTGGTGAGAGGTGTTTGTGAGGGACTACTGTAGTTCAAAGTTTGAGAATTCCACTTTTTGTCCATTTGAGCACTGTCTGAACGTTGCCATAAAATTACCGAACCATCCTTGTGGAATAGGATTTGTTGCGTGAACATATCTTCGAGAAAGTCAGTGGAAATGTTGCACCTGACACAATAGCAACCCACTATTTTCTGAACTAATGGACAGCCATCAGGCCCTAACTCAGTATTTATAAAGTTGATGAATATCCTGTGACGAGGAAAATATAGTAAACAGGAGATCCAGCTAAGTATTTCGTTAACATCAAAGTAATTTGCAAACGAGTGTATTTCGTCACTGGCACATTTTTATAGGGAAGTTACCGCAATGCCAGAATCCTTCTCGTTCTCTCGATCTTTATTTGTCAAACAATGATGCCTATTCACCGTTAGACTCATGCGGAAAGTTAACAAAATGTCTCATAACCAAGCTAGATTTGCATTTGATGACAGAACTGGTGGTCGTCATCGTGTTCAAGTGTGGTGCTCCTGACTGCCACTGTTCCGTCTACGACTGAAGAAGAGAAACATACGTTGAAGGCAACGGACCAAAACACTGAAATATGGGTCAGGTTTACGACAGCCTTTAATTGCTGGGAGATATTGGCGAGAATGTCGAGGTAGTGCAATAGCTGGAACACCGGTGTCGGTGGTTATGACACTGAGTCATGTCTGTCGGCCTCAGTAGCCACTCGTGTGGCTCATCTCGGAGTCGCTGTCCAGGTGGGCAGCAACGCGACTGACTGCTGGTAGGGGTCTCCATGTTTCGCTCCCGGGTTATGCTCTGAAGTCCCCCACACCGTTTCCATCGTGAACGCGGCTGTCGAAGCAGACAGCCGCAGCATTCGAAACATGGGACCAAACCGACGTCATCAGATTTTCAGCTAATCTGTGGTTCATGGATTATTTAATTAGTTACTTAGCCGATCTCAGGGTTGCCGACTGCTTGAACATCTCAGGTAAGGAAACTGAACACCTGCATCGATCGATTTGTTTGATATGGGCTGGGCCCCAGCTGGGTATGAATGTTCGAAGTCGCTTGCACAGATTCAAAGTTCGATTTAATTTTTCCATCGTTCTTCATCTAGGCGAGGCTTCCTTCCGGACAAAACAATAGGCGTGCTGCTTAACGCGCGCCTGAACGCTGCGGCATCTAAAACCTCGTAGTCACTTTGCATTTATTGTTTCTTATTTTTATCTTTTGCGTTGTTCGTCCTCCTTGAATACGATTTCACTGTGTACTTTGTTCCATGACTTTTGAAATCAATGCATGTAATTAATAATATTTATCAGTGGTTCTTACATGTGGCGGAAACCGGGACAGCATTTGCCCAAATGACTATTGCTCGAGAGCCATTGCTTTAGCGATTGTTGGCAAACAGATACTCATTTTTTCAATCGGGTGTGCAACCAGAACCAGTAATCAACGGGTGCGGTGTACAGCAACCACTACTGGATCCGCATATGGGCCGTCTGTTTAATACTACCACTTGAACGAGTGTGGGCTGAGTCTAGTACTGGGACAACAAGTGAAATTTACGAAATACAATGAATTGTCTGTTTCGGTTGGTCGCTTATCATTTCTGAAAACCAGATTGGATAGATAAACGTCTTATTTCTGGAAGTTGAGGAAGAAACAGCAGTAGTTGTCACAGCTGGATCAGACATCCGAGCGTGATGTTAGTCGAACTCAGGGCAACGCCAGAAATGTGGTAGCCATACAACTTTTCCATAGGGCTCAACATACTCATAAGGAAGGAAGGATTCCCCTTCATTATCTGCAACCGAAGTACTTGAGATACGCCCATTCAGTGTACCGTAACTCTGAAACCAAATGGTTTTTGATGACATGTAATGCATGCTTACGCCCACTAATCAGGTGAAATGATCATTGCACGTCCAGTATGAGGGAAGAAATATGGAGGCGGTTTCTTTACAAAACCGCATGATCATCGGATCCATCAAGCAATAGGTGCACTGTATGACGAACACCACCCCGTGACTGGCAATGTATCGAAATGCTAATAGCTCTGGTGCATTCATTGGTTGCAGATCAGGTGACTGTTGATATGTTCACCGAGTGTGGCAAGTAGACGTTTCGTCAAGAATCGTGGGGAGCTCATCATTGCGCGGTTAGATGACCTACAATTAACACCTTGACTTTGTTTTGACAGAGCCACATTCTGCACCGATCCTTTTTTACCCAACACGACATTCCATTCAAGGTTCAGTTAGCTCATTGGAACGACAGGATTATTTCCACTGAATGTTTCAGCAGCTGTCATACTACGATGTTGGGTACAGTATGCCCTAGTAATCCCGTACTCCAAATCAGCCGTGTGTTGTCTTGCCCCACTCCATATGAATAGGTGCGGCGGTATCGTGAACTGTTTAGAACAGTAAAGCAACGACCGCGAAGCACACTCATCCGTAAAATAATTTGATTTTCACATGAGATTTATCTAAACCCCAGCAAATATTGTACCGACTGAAACGAGGTGGCCATTGCGCAGCTTGTTCGGGTGAAGATCATCCTGGAAACGAGAGATTCAGCTGGAGTTCAGTTGGATTTCCCGTAAAAACCAAATTAGTTTGCAAATAAATGTACTTCGCGAGTTGAGGCCAATTTAGGTTAATGTAGAGCACTAAGCTGACGGGAACTCGCGGAATGTGCCCTGATGGGGCAACGTTGGCTTGTCGACCCATTTCAAGAGGTTAGAAAATGTCCATACTACAAAATCAGTGTTGAAAATAGCTCGACAAAAAAAGGATCAGAGGCAGGAAAGATATAGATCACAGCGAATTTTCTGTAGAAAAAAATAGACAAGCATTAGCGGAGTGAAAAATAGGGACCCGTACTTGCATAAACAGTAGTAGCAATGGGTAGATTGCATCGACGAAACTGTACACCGTTATTTTGTTGAAGGAGGTGACCAGATAGTCATGCAGCTGGATCAATGCATCTTAGTCGCATTTCGATCGGCCCTGGAAACAGGAATCTCGAACGGTGTTCAAAGACTCCGGATTGTACAAAGTAGGACCCAGAATTGCTAACTTCCTGGTTTTAATGATTGCCGGTTCGCATCATCTATACGTCTTATTTGATTGACTTCATATTCCAGCTCGGCAACCTGAGAGGTTAACCTTTCGACCTGGAAAGAACGCATTTGTGAATGTCATTCAAGGGGGATATTTAGCGCACGATAAATGATAGGACAGAAGTAATAATCCCAATACAGTCTGCGTCACCTAGGACAGCGACCTCTTCGATGAACATGAGCCTGACGGAACGATGCATTGCGCCAAGATTAATGAATTTAACCTAGTTAGCACATCGATTAGGGTCACGTTCGACCGAAGCGTTTTGCATTATGTGCACTTAAGCCCAGGATTAACACTATAGTAAATTCGAGAGAAGTCACCTGATAAACAAACACTTCTTGGGTAGTTTGGTGATAATGAACTGCCATTGTGGGAGGTCATTAGCTTGAAAAAGAGTGCGCGAATTTTGGCTTGGGGTTTCAGATAAACGACAGCGAGGCAATTGAACAATAAACAAACGCACTTCGGGGAGAATTTCGCGACAAAAAACGGGAACAGCCAAAATTATTCTTTGGAAAAAATCCTTTCCGGGATATGAAGATGGAAACATTGTTCTATCGTACTGTTCTCGATATTTTCAATGCATCCCTCACCGCTATCAATCCAATACGATTCCAGGAAGTCCTAAAATCCAAACTTCTCCGTAAGACGGTCGCATCACAAAAAGGATCTCGCCATGATCCCTAATTTTGGCGATGCTAAGCACCGCTCCGAGCGTTGCTTCGGGATCCATGCCTACATTTTCTTCACTGACATTTTGAGGCCGCATTAATCGTTTAGCCTTCTGCAACGCATGAGGATATAAGCGGTGTGAACAGACAGCTACTATACGCAAAACATTGGTCGGCAAAACCGTCAACGACCCAACGCACAACTAACGTGCCATTTTGCTGCCTGAGTAGGTGACTTCATTCGGCCTGCGCGCCAAAGAAGCACTCGGACGGGACGACAGACCGCAATAATGATTAAGATATGCCTTGAAAGTACTTATTCAGACTGAGTTAAAGGAGTGTTTTCGTCCTGTGTCCAGCACCAGAAGCTGCGTTGGTTGGGACATGTTTTACGCATGCCGAATCATCGTTTACCGAAAAGAGTACTATTTTCTATACCCAATTCGGAGTGGCGTAAACAGAGAGGTGGCCAACCCATGACCTGGCAGAGGAGTATGAAGGAGATGACGAAACGCTTGGGTGCTGTCGGTGCTACTCGCCTTCCAAGATGGGGACCGCGTGATCCTCACTGTGCCTGGTTGGACACACTACAAGATATGGCTGCCAACCAATGTCAGTGGCGTTCTTTTTGTCAGTTTCTATTCAGATTGCCTGAGTGAATGTCTGGAGGTGTAGGCACCTCGGAATGATTGTGTTAAGCTAGCACTAAGTCCCTCCCCCATCCACCTTTATTCTTTTCTTTACAATAAGGCTTTCAAATAAGTCATGGCTGTACGGCAGTGAAGCATTGGTGTTGAGCACTGATGTCATGCTGTCGTTGATGATGATGATGATGACCTTTTGCAGTCGAGACCGAGCAGTTCGTTTTCGTGCGAGCTGTTCTTTTGGTGAAACTGTCTCAGGTAATGTAGTAGGGTCGTTTGTCTGGCACAGTTACGCGATTATCTCCAAGCTGTAGTAGAACAGATCTAAACGTTGTCACCGTTCTGTTCACGTGGATCACGATCAAAATCGGATTTTATATAATGGGCCGCCGCACGTCTCCGTACTGGTTAGGCAATAAAATGCTGCTCTTAAAAGATCTGCTGACTCCAACCCTACTTAAAATGTAACGCGGGCCTGTAGCAATCAAATTCTCACCCAACCCACAGAGTATCGGCTCGTCATGCGGGTCACGAGTTCAGGCACCGCAACAATCTGCCTGTTTTAACAGTCGTGATATCAGAAGGCGTATCGAACTGCGATCGTATTGTGCTTCTGTTTGCTCTGATTGTAACATCGGCCTGATTACCATATGTGGCAAGTATTGCGTTAGAGCGGGGTTCTGTCGGGCTAAATCTGCCTCGTGACCTCCAGGTTTGCGTCTTTGACTAGCTTTTCGAGTCCGGCATTGGCTTTTCTTGTGCCCACATCGATTGTACACGGAACGTTTGTGCTTTCTATAGGGACACAATCGCACGAAATGTCATTCGCCGCATTGCCAGCATGCCGACGGGGGCTTTGCTCTGTCCAAATTTGCCGCCACGGGAATTGCCTCTTGGCAATATTGAAAGCAGGATCTTTCAAACATGGCCGTGTCTTTTGAGATTCAAGAAGCGCTGGCACTCGCGAGTAATGGAACGCAGCATTACCTCGAAAGACTGTCCGATCATGTTCGATAGCCTCGCTGTGATAGCACTCTATGAATGCGACTGAAGGCCACATGTGAAAATAAGACACTTGAACTGGTTTTCAGTCATTGTAGACAACTTGAATTGTTCACATTCAAGAGTGACTCTACTGTCATAAGTGATATAGTCTTCAGATTCCTTTTTTGCTAGTTTCATACACTGGTAGCGAAACAAAGACGAATGTCCACCAAACACTTGAGAGTTGCTGTACGCTTTTGTCAAAACTGGGAGCTCGTGTTTTCTTTGGCAAAATGAAGTTGGAGTACCGTGTGTCCCATTGTGCCAAGCTTTCTGAGCAATAAGCGTATTCTCCAGGCATCATCTTTGTGCTTCAGTTCGGCTGCGAAAATATCTTCGTAACGTCTGAACCACGAATCGAAGGTTAGACCAGTACCAAGGTCATGATTGAACTCCGTAATGCTGCTGGCGATCGAGTCGACTGAATTTGGATCTGGAGCGGTAGTTGGTGGTTGAATTCTGTGTTGTGTCAAGGTTTCTACCAAACACAGTTGCGTTGCTCCAGACTGATTTTGCTGTTACAGCAGAATTTCCTTCAACGCTTCAGCAGTCATTGTCATGGTTCCGTGTGTTCGGGCGTCGCCAATGTGTTATATCTAACTGGTGTCCCCGCTCCAGTGGCTAGTGCCGGAAAAAAGACTCGCCGACAAGGAACGCAACAGCTTTATTGCGAACACGTGAGTGAGTGCGAAAAGTACGGCGGCCCCGCGCTGTATATTCAGGGGGCACTGTCTGACGTTCGAAGGTCTCAGTAGGTTTCTGGTATTTGGGGTTAATCCTCAGGACAGATTAATCTTCCTGACACGGAGCGTAAAACCTTGGGATGACAGGAGGTAGTTACTCAAGTCCCGCCGATTGGTTTTAGCACGGGCGCTAGATATATGAATTTAGGTCACTCGGAGAACAAATGATCACAGTGTGACGCTCGGCAAGATAAATGGGCACATGGTCATTGGTTGGTTCGCTGAGCTGGGCGATTTGATTGCGAGGTGACAATCAGTGCGCTGCTATGAACCACAGCGGTGGATTAGCTATTGTGCGTGTGTGTTATTATGCGTCGTTGATCTTCAATCAGTCGCTTTGTCCTATTGGTTGGATACTGTGTTCCGATGAAAAAATAGAGACGGTGTGACGAGAAAGCGCGTAGGAAGCTTAGTTGAAGCGATCGACCGAGGCGTATGATGGACATGGTTTGGTATGCTCGATAGTCTGGCTTAACAACACAAACTGTCTGGCGCGACATGGTCGCAGAAGGTCTTTAATCCAGCAGTTCAATTTGTTAGCCGAGCAGGTAAGTGTACGAGTCACTCAAGTAACGGGTATTTCATTTTCATCTGCATTTTTCGGTGGGTAGAGTCTCATGCAGTCTGAGGCCTATTAACTTTGGATTACCACCGAGATCCGTTTAATAATGAAGATAATCGTCCAGTTGTGACACACTTTCGGTGCCTGGCTGCCATGCCGTCCCGAAGGAAGCGCAAGAACTGAGATACCGCCAGACTGCCCAAGCCCGGACAGGAGTTGTCGAGATGCAAGCCGACTCTTCCAGTAAGTTTGCACACTAACAAGCGGGCTGTCTCGAGCTATTCTTCACAGGAAATCAATGAAGCCGGTCCAAACCTACTTGGTGATAGAACTCTTCTCATTTTTTCGCCCTATTTTATAAAAATAATCGGCCTTCTGTTAGCAGTAACAGATCTGGCGCTCTATGCAATGGGTTAAGTTATCCTATTCCGATAACGAGACGTTGTTGAACTGGCGCATGACGATTCAGGCATAATTGCCTAGTAATTTCCGATAAAGATCGCATAGAGTTATTGATACATTTATTTTTCGGTGGATTTGACTAAAGCATGAAGCTAACAGAAACCACATTATTCCCAATGGGATATCTCATCTCCGCACACCTTACAAGACGCTCTGGAGCTCGAACTCAGGTAAGTAACCGTAAGTTAGGTCAGTCTCCGGGTTCAGAGTGGCCAAGTTCACTCGGAAGAGGCGCCCCGGTTGGTGGCACAGTGGCAAGCCAGAAGGTCCGCTGTCCAAGTTGACCTCAGACACCCTGATTTATCATAGTTGGGCCTGAGCAATGCCTGAGGTGCAGCCGTCAACCTTCCCGAGAAATCTGTGGAGCAACTCCCTGTTACGGTCCCAGAGCTAAAGGATTCGGTCTGTTTAATTCCAACAGAGCGAATGCAGTGATTTCTACGGCCAATTTCATCAAAATAACACCAACTTTCACTGTTATGTACGAATCCCAAAAGCGTCGAGACCACAAACCACTAACCTGATCCTTCAGCCGTTTGTTCTCATTGCTGTACTGATTCAGAAGAATCTGGTGACTAGAGGGGATCTCCGGAGAAAGTTTTCCCAATAAATTCGCGTGGCTCGGAGGACTAAATGTGCGTCTGGTTGTGGCGTAGGGAGGGTTTTGTCGATCGAATCCGATGCGCAATATAGCGTCTCGATCCAGGCGAACTGAAAGCCCTTGCTGAACACGAATCTAGGGAGATGACAAATGAACGCGTGTAATGACGACGGAAGCATTAAGCGAAGAGAAATAATACTTCAACCGTCAGTCAAAGCTAGCTACGATGAGGGGCTTACCTTTCGGAAAAACTGGTTTTCGTCACCAGGAGTTGCCACTCCTTCGGACTGCATGTCAAACTCCACCGATCCACCTTTGAGTTTGATGTGGACATCTACACTCGGTAGAGGCAGTTGGGCCGAGAGCAATGTTGTATTCACTTTCGGTGTCTGTAGCAGATGTGAATGCCAATTATTCCTTCTGGCAAATTCGGTGGCAAGTTCGATAAGCAAACAACGAATGGTGGGTGTAACTCGTAGAGACCAACTTTGCAATAAATCTGCCGACAAAGACAAGCAGCTGTCCCAAGATGGATTGTGGTAAGACGATCTGGATGTGTCTTTTGTAGCGGACAGGAACACAGAGAATAGTGTTTGCTCAGCGACCGGAGTGTCTGCAGCGTCCGACTGGGAGCCGGTAGTTGGGGCACACTTTTTCTTGTCATCAGCAGGGTCCACGGAAAATACTTCCAAACTCTGAAGATTGACCCATAAGCGCATCTCAGTCTCACAGGCATCTAGATGATTAGAAAAACGAATGCTGTTGACCTGTACTCATCTTTGCAATGTTGCTACGGACGTGCGGAACTCTCAAACAACCGTCAAAATACAGTTCATCAATGGTTCGTGAAAGATGCTCGGTACTTCAAATTATCGGACTACATGCACTTTTCGCGAGATGAGCTAATACTCGCAAAATACATTGAAAAACGAATATCGGGTGGGGAACTATAGAGTGGAAACCTACAGCGATCGATCAAATAGCAGTATAATGAGCCTCATGAAACCAACAGCATATAATTTCCCAAATATTTACATATGAAGAACAACTGTATTAAACTAGGGATAGAATGAAACACAATCTTCCGTTTTGGCTACCTGCGATTCCACATAGGCCTTTCAAAAGAATGGCAACACATGGTGGCGCCACTATTGACTGGGATCTACCAGGTTTTCGCGTCCAGGCCTTGGTTGGGGTTTTCTGGCGAAGCACAGCTTCTTCTCGCCGTAAATAGGAACAAGTGTATATAGATGGATCGTCTTCCGAAAGTTCCAGCCCTATTTCTTCAGCTGAATTGGTGGTCGAGATACGATTCCCAGCGGCGCTTCGTTCGTCCTGGCTCATAATTGACAAGGAGTCGAGATTAACCGAGTTTGTATCATCCGACGCGAGCAAGATCTCATATGTATTAAGCCAGCTGTCCTGAGATCCAGTGATACTGCCTGTCTCTGAATCTTTGGTTAACTTGAACAAACCTGAATCGGATCCGGAACTGAGAGAACTGCTCAAATGCGCCTTTTCGTTTTTCTGAAATGAATGAAAGGGAGAAGAGCAACGTCGAGATAAATGGTTGAATAACCAAACCGAACCATTCTTCACTAAAATAAACGAAGCAGGTGCAGTGAAGGGATAAAGTTACGCAAGGAAACCTTGGAACACACCTTAAATGGAGAAGGATTATGCACCCCATCCGCTAAATGTCAAGATTTTACAGTCAGTGTACATTCAACAAAGGACCCGTCACAACGAAGATCAAGCAATAGTACGTGGTAATGAGCACTGAACATACTGTCAACCAACCCTATAGGGATTCAACCTTTTCGACTGTATTCTTACGCGCAGACGAGATGAGTCAAGATAAGCAATGCGGTCGTCGAACATGGACTTGCGCACTTTCGAACCATAACAAACCCATAGCCTTCAGATTCTTCATTACGTTGACATATGGGCTACATGTTGGGCACTTGATGGCGAATTCCGATAGATGAACACTGGTATTACTGTCCATTCATCAATCCACTACATTTCCACACACTCTGACGTTGTACATATTGATAGAATAAATTTGAATGTACTTCACCCATCCTTGATGACGAAGCTATTCAATGAAAATGCACTTCAAAGCGCAACCGTGTGAAGATTCGACCACGAATCTTTATCATACACAGGCATAGTTTTGTCAATGTAGAACTTGCGCGTATTCAAAACACGAGTCCGTGACACATGACAATGGAGCGCCCGGTAAGCGCTGTATGCAGGTTTCTAGCAGCACCAATTGTCGCATTGGCCTGGCTTGGTAACCGTTTTTAAGACTTTACAAACAATCGCAGTGAATCCAGTGGCTAACTAGCTATGAAATGCATTCAGCTAGTATTCGTTAGTATTATATTATGATTACGTGTCCCAGTATTTTTAGCGTAGTCACTTGGAACATCATCGTAAATAAAAACTAGAATGTATTTAATCTGGACAGGAAACCTCCATTTGATGAACACTTTTGGGGACACTAGCAGCGATTTGACGTGATTCATCACTCCGGTTATATATTCCACTAATCGAATAGGAGTCCTTTACCTTCGCGGGGTAACAATCAGACAGAAGCGAAACCACACCAGACTGATAGGAAGTTTCACCTGTGATCTGGACCTAATTAGGTTGATTGCGTGGATCGAAATGCATCGAACGGAAATAGCGAACTGATAATGCGTCGGATGGCTCTTCGAGAGGAATTTAGTCCACATGCTCTAACGTCATCTGATAGCTACTGTTCTGGTTTCCAACAGTTCGCTTTACGGAGAAGACAGTCATGTTGCGCGACATTTATATGGCTACCCTTCAGTTACTTGAAAAAAATTACAGAAGTCCTGTTCGGTCTGCCCCACAACTCCAGCTTAAAGCTGCATGCGATACCGATGCTTGATTACCGGCTTTATGAATGCATATGTTGCCTTCGACGTACTTGCACATCCATATTTACAGTTGGAACGGCTCAGCAGGAGTACAAAAAATGACACTACCTAGGTCCAACTCAGTGACGCTGTCAGTACGAATATCCCCGGTAAAAACCGGTCAACACATCTTCGTGCTGAACACCAATTACACCAAGACAACGCAATGATGATGATGAACTACACGCTTTGCATCATAATGAATGACCCTTTCACCAAATCGAGGATTGGAACGAAAGCATTCCTCATTTAACTGGGGTCCATTCCTCGTTCGCACTCGTTGGACTACGGATTCCAGACCCCTTGGTCGAGACGCATCCCATCCGGTCGTACGCACCACAATATACACACGTAACAAACTTCATATAGACTAGTTCTACTGACGGTCACATATTCAAGCAGTAGGGAGAAGATGCCAGATGACAGTGGTTTTTTGGATCGGACACCGCGCATTCCCGAATTGACGATAATCACAGGTGTCAGCGCAGGAAAGCTGAACGGCGTTCTCATTCTATGGTGCCCTAGGGCATACCGAATATTCAAGATCTACCGTTAAAAGAGGGTAGGTGAGTGTACAGTCGATACCAAAAAACACGCTTCATGTATCGTTCAAAGCTTCCACGTAAAAGATAGGACTCCTGGACCACCATACAAGTCTTTTTCCTATTCAGAGCAGAGGCAACCAGGAAAGAATCCTTACAACTAGTACATGAATTTGCATTCAGGTCACAATTTCGAGCAATATATGGATACACCATTGGCTGTAATTCAAGCGTCAAGTCAGCTCGGTGAATGCATTACTGGTTACACTGAACCGTTTACTCCTTTCTGAAATACCAGGAACAAGTGGGAGAGATCGAAAAATTGTGGACAAGTACAGCATGCGCGATTGTCAGGTTTAGCGCACCAGAAAGTAACGGATTGAAGTTTGAAATAAGCAGCGAAAGATGGAACTAGAGGAGGATGAAGAGTCATGTTGCTGGACGAAATGCTGTTTGAATAGGCCGCATTCAGAAACAACAGGTGAATACAACAGGTTCGGAAAGTCACCGGGATGGATAGAACAAACGCAGATATCGAAACTGATGTCACTGCTGAGCGGCATTCCACAAGTTTGACCAGATAATTCAGTAGGAGATGCTTTCGTCTTCGATGAAACTTACTGGTATTTCGTACCGGACCCAAAATAAATGAATTGCCTTCCCCCGAGGAAGGACGGGTTAGAAAAGTTCGGCCCCAAAAACCGCACACTCCGATCGCCCAACGGTTGACCGTGACCGCCGGCGCATTATCCAATACGGTCGAAATACTTTTAAAACCAAAGAGCCCGGTGCTGCTCAA